GGTATTTCCTGATCTCTGATCCTCACCCCTAACTCATTTTGGCCTCCATTTGCACTGAACTTACACTCCATATATTCTGTCTTTGATCGGCTTAGGCGAAGACCTTTAGATTCCAACACTTCTCTCTAAAGGTTAAGCTTCGCATTTACCCCTTCCTGAGTTTCATCTATCAACACTATATCGTCTGCGAAAAGCATACACCAAGGAATATCATCTTGAATATGTCATGTTAACTCATCAATTACCAACGTAAAAAGGTAAGGACTTAAGGATGAGCCTTGATGTAATCCTACCGTTATGGGGAAACTTTCGGTTTGTCCTTCATGAGTTCTTACGGCAGTCTTTGCTCCTTCATACATATCCTTTATAGCTTGGATATATGCTACTCGTACTCATTTCTTCTCTAAAATCCTCCAAAGAATGTCTCTTGGGACCCTATCATACGTTTTTTCCAAATCTATAAAGACCATGTGTAAATCCTTTTTCCCATCTCTATATCTTTCCATCAATCTTCGTAAGAGATAGATTGCCTCCATGGTTGAGCGCTCTGGCATGAACCCGAATTGGTTGTCCGAAACCCGTGTCTCTTGCCTCAATCTATGCTCAATGACTCTCTCCCAGAGCTTCATTGTATGACTCATTAGCTTAATACACGTATAGTTCATGCAATTTTGTACGTCGCTCTTATTCTTGTAGATAAACACCAAAGTGCTCTTTCGCCACTCATTTGGCATCTTCTTCATTTTCAAAATCCTATTGAAAAGGTCAGTGAGCCATGCTATACCTGTCTCTCCCAAGACTTTCCACACTTCAATCGGTATATCGTCTGGGCCCACTGCTTTTCTATGCTTCATCTTCTTCAAAGCTCTAACCACTTCTTCCTTCCTAATTTGACGATAAAAGGAGTAGTTTCTACACTCTTCTGAGTTACTCAACTCTTCTAAAGAAGTACTCCTTTCATGTCCTTCATTGAAAAGATTATGAAAATAATCTCTCCATCTGTCTTTGACCGCGTTTTCTGTAGCAAGAACTTTTCCATCCTCATCCTTGATGCACCTCACTTGGTTTAGGTCCCTTGTCTTCTTTTCCCTTGCTCTAGCTAGTTTATAGATATCAAACTCTCCTTATTTGGTATTTAGTCGCTTATACATATCGTCATAAGCCGCTAACTTAGCTTCTCTCACAGCTTTCTTCGCTTCTTGCTTCGCTCTTCTATACCTTTCACCATTTTCATCGGTCATGTCCTTGTATAAGGCTTTACAACATTCCTTCTTCACCTTTGTTTGTACATCCTCATTCCACCACCAAGATTCCTTTTGGTGTGGAGCAGAGCCCTTGGACTCTCCTAATACCTCTTTTGCTACTTTTCGGATACAACTTGCCATGGAATCCCACCTTTGGCTAGCTTCCCCCTCTCTATCCCACACACACTGGGTGATTACTTTCTCTTTGAAAATGACTTGTTTTTCTCCTTTTAGATTCCACCATCTAGTCATTGGGCACTTCCAAGTCTTGTTCTTTTTTCTCACTCTTTTGATATGTACATCCATCACCAACAAGCGATGTTGATTAGCCAAGCTCTCTCTCGGTATAACTTTGCAATCCTTACAAGTTATACGATCCCCTTTCCTCATTAGAAGAAAATCTATTTGTGTTTTTGACGACCCACTCTTGTAGGTGATCACATGTTCTTATCTTTTCTTAAAGAAGGTGTTGGCTAAGAATAGATCATATGCCATTGCAAAATCCAAGATAGCTTCCCCATCCTCGTTTCTCTCCCCAAAACCATGGCCACCATGAAAACCTCCATAGTTGCCTGTCTCCCTGCCCACGTGTCCATTTAAATCTCCTCCTATAAATAACTTCTCCGTCTGGGCAATTCCTTGCACCAAGTCTCCAAGGTCTTCCCAAAATTTCTCCTTCGAACTCATATCCAACCCTACTTGAGGTGCGTACGCACTAATCACATTGATGAGTTCTTGTCCTATTGCAATCTTTATTGCCATGATTCTATCTCCTACCCTCTTGACATCTACAACATCTTGTGTCAAGGTCTTGTCCACGATGATGCCAACACCGTTTCTCGTTCTATTTGTGCCCGAATACCAAAGTTTAAACCCTGAGTTTTCTAGATCTTTTGCCTTAGGCACATAATATTTATCCTTCTCCTCACCATAACTTTCACTACTTCCATAGATTTTCCTGTTAAGGTTCCTATATTCCACGTTCCTAAACGCATTCTACTCTCTTGAACTCTACCCTTCTGTCCTAGCTTCTTCACCCTCCTCCGTCCAATAGGATCAAAGTACTTCTTTTGCGTGTCCTGTGTAAAGTTGATAGGAGCATATGCTCCCAAACAACTTTGAGTGGAGTCGTTCGAAAAGAAGTTTCTATGGCCCCCTTGCTCATTTAACACTGCATCCGGGTGCCGATGGAGATACAGCGACCCTTGCTCACTTATCACTATGCTCGGGCCACACAGCGCGCCACTTAAGGGTGACGCCCTAGCTTTAGCGCGATTTCGTTCTAGATTCATTTTCATAAGGATTCGACGTAACTGAGGAGTGCCGGTTGTTGACTACCTGACGCCCTCCCCCTCCTCCTTTACCCGGGCTTGGGACCGGCAATGTAAGATAAACTTACACAGGCGGAGTTAAGCCAGGACAAACACTAAGAAAAATAAGTACAGAAAGACTTACAAAACTCATCAACTAGACACGCATACTAGTAGGCAGTTTTGTTTCCGTGCTTTGCTACTCGATCTCTCTTCATTTTTCAAGTTGAAGTGGCACAACACTAACGCGATCGTCAATCACTTTTTCCTCGAATTTTGAAAGATACTAACTTGATCATGTAGAATGTTTATATGATGAAGTGTTTATTTGAAAAACAATTAATTACGAAAATCACAAGGCACATTTTCATAATTGACATTCAATTAAAACCTTAAATGAAAACAGCATGAAAATAATATTTTCTCTTTAAAAACGCATGTTGTTCAAACCACAAGATAGCAGCAATAAAAATAATTATTTCTGCTAAAAAAAAACCAAGGCTGCTGCCTTTAGATGCTTTTATCTAAGAACCCCAATATTCATGCATATGCGGCTCATGAAATTTTCTATCTGTTTAATGCATTGTTGCTAGTGTTTATACCATGCGGAAAAGCCTAAATGCATATGCTGCAGCAGCAGGAAAAACCCCAAACTGATCTAAAGCATGCGGCAACCAAAACATAAAAACATATTCTGATGCACTCGGTGCTAATGCTCTGTTATTCTAGCGGCAACCACTGAACCAGGTAACTAAGACTTCTATTTATCTGTGCAGCAGCTGGACTCTCTTATCCCTATCATATACGCGTGAGCCACAAGCCTAATAAGACCTAATCACTTATCAGTTAAGATATAATGAGATATAGATGCAAAACCAGAGATATTAACAGCGAGTTAAATACTTAAAGCAAAACAAGGTCATGCGGCAAGACTAGGATCCTAAAGGTACATATGTATATATATGCTAGGGTTTTAAGCTGACTTAAAATGATGGGCTTTAGCATGCTTAATTATACAAACAAACCCAATACTCTTTTATTAATGAACAATACGATTCAACATTTTAGCCAAAATTAAATAACCCACTGAACATAAATCCAGACTGTATGAATGCATATGTATGCCGAACTTACTTGAGTGATATCTCTGAAACGTTTTTCATTTTTGTGATCGAGAGCACTAAGACAAACTTAGACTAAAATAATTACAACAAAAAACATGACATTACAGACTCAGGCGTTTTGTTTAGGAATAGCCAATTTTACCCTAACAAAAAGTCTTTATATTTGGTAGGATTGGGTTAGGTAACTTAATTTTTTGACGATTTCATATAGTATATTTTAGATATTACAGATCACGTGATGAGGAAGATAAAGATAAAGAAATATACTATCAATTTTATGGTAGAAAAATCTACCGTTCGGCACCCAATCTAAAGCATAGACTAATCAAAATAGGTTAGCTTGGCTTCTAGAGATAAATCATCTGTCTAAAATGTCTAAAATAGGATTAACTTAAATTGCATCCCTTATTTTCCAAGAAGAATGTTTTAGTTCTACAATGATAATTGACTTCGTTCGGTTTGGTCTATTTCATGGCTTGTCAAGAATTCCGCCAATCGGTTCTACTACCAAACCATTTATGCTCGAGGGGTTTTGTTTTCGTTTCAAATTTCATTTGGGAGGTGGTTTGGAGAGATGAGAAATGCTGCAGTTTTGTGATGAGGAAATTTTGCGAGAGTCTAATTATACAATAATGAGGTTGCAATTTGTTTTGGGGAGGTCTGTTTTTCACTGGCCGATTGGTCCAAACGTTGTGCTTGTATTATGTAATTTGTGATATTTGAAACTATAATGTACGGGAAGGGGAATTTAAACTTGGGTGTTAGGAGGCGCACATATTGCCCTCTGAGATTATGTGGATTGATTGAGATGAACATTTTTCAAAATATAAATTGAATGTGGCTCTTGATCAAGTAAAATAACAAATCTCCAATCTACTTAGATTCATACTACAAATAAAACAATTAAGGTTCATTTCAATAATCTAAACACTCGCTAAATTGATGCTTTACATTTTAAACACAAAACAGCTGCGAGTTTCTGGTAGGGAATTCGATCCTTTTATCTTCTCATTCGTCAATAATCCATGACTTTGAAGCTGCAGTTTTAAAACATTCGTCGTTAAGAATTTGATTTGGAAACTAAATTAAGATTAATGCAACGTCAGGATTTCAATTTATCAAGGAAAAGTGGGTCAATTTACCTTGGGCCGAAATCTTCCAGTCGCTATCAAAACTGAGGGCCCAAAAGAAGTATCCACGAAGCCCAAGGGCCTGAGCAAACCCTATCTTCGCGGCAGTGGTGAAGGCATCATAGTACGAAACCCACATGGACCCGTTGTACGAATACATGGATACAATGTCCACGTCATACACTACAGTTGGCCCTTTTGGTTTAGTAACAATTCGACTTGGTGGTAAAACAACATCCCTGCTCCTGGGCCTGGCCCAATATCGGTGGCTCCAAAGCCGTGATTTTTCGGGTTTTGGAGCTCCCACGACCGGCCGTAGAGGGCCAAGCCCATAACCAATTTCGCCGGGTGTATCCCGGCCTTGATCCATGACTTAAGCCCATATATTGAATTTACGTTACTAAACGGGTTCCACAATGCTGCATTGGGCCCTGTGGTATTGCTCCAAGCCCCTTTGTAGTCGTAGCACATTGGATTGATCCAGTCCAAGTACTTTTTCAGAGACGACGCCGGGTACGATCGGGGGACGGCGTCCAAGAAGAAGTCGGCCGAGAAGTAAACGGCAGCGGTGAGGAGTAGCGGAGGGCGGGCCGTGGATTTGGACTCCTTGAGCTCGTGGTGCCATTCTTTTAACAAGTGGCTCAAATCCTTCATTTCTTTTGGGCTTTGAAGGAACTCCCAATCAAGGTCCAGCCCATCAAACCCAAACTTACGTGCAACCTCTATGGCAGATTGTATGAATTGTGAACGAAGCTTTTGAGGCCAAGCGAGCAAAGACGAATGGCAGTACCACGCCGTCTGCTGCGCCGCCGATGGACAAAAGGGTCTTCACCGGCGGAGTTTTGTGGCGGAGAGTGGTGGTGAAATTGGAGAGGAGCAAAGCCGTAGAATTTGACAAGTCAAATTTGAAAGTGACATTATTTGGCACAAGAAAAGCATAGAAAATGTGGGTGAAGAATGATGTGTTTATGGCTGAAGGTGGGAAATCCGGCGAAAACGAAGGATAATACGCCGCTTCCACCGTCGGTGGAGCCTCGGCCGTGCAGCCGGTGTTTATGACCATCAAGGAACATAAGAGCAAGAGAATATGCAAAAAGTTGTGGCTTGCCATTTTTGTTACAGTAGGTTATGAAGGACAACATATCAAATTCGAACTATATAAATCAAAGGAATTAAGCAGCAGCAACAACAACAACAAACCATTTTCCCACTAAGTGGGGTCGGCTATGTGAATTCTAGAACGCTATTGCGCTCGGTTTTCGTTCTGGATTCACTTTCATAAGGATTCGACGTAAACTAGGAGTGCCGGCTGTCGACTACATGACGCCCTCCCCCTCCTCCTTTATCCGGGCTTGGGACCGGCAATGTAAGATAAACTTACACAGGCGGAGTTAAATCAAAGGAATTAAGCAAAATGTTAAAAATTATGCTATATAATTAATCCAGGAAGTAGTTTATTGTTAATTTAAATATTAAGTTAAGATTAAAACTACGTCACTAGTAATTAAGCCGGCCGTTTTATCTTAATCTGTTTTTTTTTTTTTTAATTATAAAAGACAGAGGACCCTGTCTTGTACTGATTGGAATGAAATCTAGGAAGTTGATTTAAGGGAATTTCATGTTCACATGTGTTCGTCTGGGAACAATGCAAGCTGAAATTAGTTTTTTTCTTGCAATATTTTGTTTTTGTTGTATAAAATAATCTTGCAGACGAAGAGAGTTGAGATTTCACCATAAAACCATCGGCAAGGTTCCTTCTCTCCTGAGATTCAGTAGAACAAAAAATTTGCATATACTTGGTGATTTAACAAAATACCAAACCTTTAAAACATCCAATGTCTTCCACGAGACGAAGAATCCAAAATTGCTAGGAACTTGTGTGCACTTCTTCTCATAAACGCTTCTCATTCGCGCCTGCATTTTCACTTGAGCCTGCATTCTCATCGGGGTTGGAGTTCGGAGATCTGAGCATCATTAACCGAACAATTTCCTGGCTGCAGGGTACATAGGTTGTCCACGTTGTCGTAATTTTTCACTGAGAAAGCCGTCTTTGTAGGAGTTGGAACGGCTTGAGTGTCAGATATGAGCATGGAATAAACTTCCAGCATTGTAGGCCTATCGTCGGCATTTTCCTGGACACAGAGCAGTGCCACTTGCAAGCATCTCAATAACTTACAAGAAGAAGAAGAATCGTCAAGTGACGGATCGATAAAATCCAGTCCTTTGTCCTCTTTCCATGATACATATGCCTGAAACAATTTTAATGATTTCAATCATTCATGTTTAAGTAATGGTTTATGGTCGTGACAGAAGTTTGAACCGTAGAAAGTTTCTCGAACTTACATATTCCAAGAGGTGCATACTTTCGTTCGGACCATAGTAATGTGTACTCTTCCGTCCGCTAATCATTTGCAAAAGTAGAACTCCGAAGCTGTAGACGTCGTACTTCATAGAGTATATGCCTTTTCGTACGTATTCAGGAGGTACGTAGCCACTGCATTTGCGTATAACAAGTATAAGGATATGGTCACACGCGAATAACTGATGAGAGGTAGTTTATCACTTACTATGTGCCAACAATCCGCCTTGTGTTTCCTTCGAGTTCATCCTTTCTGAAAAGTTTGGCCATTCCAAAATCAGAAATCTTAGCATTCATCTCGTCATCAAGCAAAATGTTGCTAGCTTTTAGATCACGGTGAATGATTGTGAAGTTTGAGTATTCTTGAAGATATAAGAGTCCTTGAGTAACGCCTTCGATGATGTGCACACGCTTTCCCCAATCCATGAAATACCGTCTGGTAGGATCTGCGAGATGAAAAATTCAAGAATCCGTACATGAAGTTCTAATGAATTGAAACAAATTTTGTTGAAAGTAATCTGCACCTCCATAAGCTTAGACCCAATGTAAATGTTATTACTGTTATTCTAGCATGCATTCTAAAATGTAAGGAGAAGCACGAAAAATTGCAGATTGAAAAGGTAGAAGTCCAAGCTTTTGTTGGGCATGTACTTGTAGATCAGCATTTTTTCTTCCTTCTCAGTGCAAAATCCAAGAACAGGAACTAGATTCATATGTTGTAGTCTCGCAGTAAGTTTAACCTCATGTTCGAATTCCTGAAGTCCTTGAGTAGACGTTTTCGAAAGCCTTTTCACTGCTATTTCCGGACCTCTCCGCAACTTACCCTAAAAAAACAGGATTAGCAAAAGAATAATTAAACAACTACTCTGCGTGTTTTGTGTGTAGACGTTGCATAAGCTTTCGGTTCAGTCTGAGGGACCTTTACACAAGTTTTAAACCCCGTTCCCACAGCATAAAATTATATTTAGAAAATGTACCAAATGTTACCTTGTAAACGGGACCAAATCCACCCTCCCTCTCCAAGTTTGTTTTCACTTGAGAAGTTATTTGTAGCCACTTTGAGACTGGAAAAGCGGTATACTTTCAAATTCGGAGCATCACTGTCAACAGCCGATGTACTAGTAGACCTAGATCTGCCTAGAACAATCATCCCTGAAACCAGAAGAAATAAAAATTTCAAATGCAAATCTGTTAATGTCGATAGCTATCTCTTCATTTAATTTCTATTAGAAACAAACCATCACAGTTGAGCATATAACCTCTTGTCTTCAATAGTTCTCTCTGCCAGAAACACACCACGAAAGCTATGAGAATTACGACCGAAGTAACTGATAGCACTATTACAAGCAGTAACCGGGGTTTCTTTTCGTGATCATTTCCTTCCTCCTGAGCTGTCAATCATTAAAGCAGTTGGAAGTAAAACAATTAGATGTCTGCAAATTGCCTGTTGTCACAATTAAACTTTGTTCATGCATGCTTTAAACTCGAGTTGTATGACATGTTGGAACGCAGCTTAGGAAATCTCTTTGGCTTATCTTCATCGATAATTAGCATTGCTTGTGGGATAAGTATCCACCTGCCCGAGAAAGTGCCCAATTTTCATCATCATTGCTGACTTGAAACCAAGGTTCTAAAAAACGCTAGGCGCTAGTCGGGTGGCGGGCTAGCGCCTAGCGCCTAGGTGGCTAGGCGGCGCCTAGGCGGATTTAGGTAAATTTCTTGTATATCTTGTAAATAAGTGCATATTGACATCTAAAAAAAAACTATACTTGTATGGATAATAAAATAATGATAAAATGCAAATTAGGTACACTATTTCCATAAGTATTGGATGAACTTGTAGTAAATCCATTATTTGCAAATTATATACACCATTTCCATAAGTATACCACCATGAAACCAAAAAAGAAAAAAGCACGCAATTAATAAAAAATAATAAATAAAAAAACCTCCTAGGACTGCCTAGGCCGCCTAGGACCGCCTAGCCCACCTAACCCGCCTAGCCGCCCAGCCCGCCTAGGCCCAACCCGATTTTTCCTCCCGATTTTCCAAAAAACGTCTCGGTTGCTAGGCGCCCAGCGCCTAGGCGGCCGCCTAGGCCGTTTTTTAGAACACTGCTTGAAACACATTGGTACCGAGTAGCTTCTTCGCTTTCATTTATGCAATCCTAGATCTGATAGCTTCCACATCATCGAAATTAATCCAAGTCGATCCTACCGTGCAGTAATTCACGACATAAGTATCATTATACGCTATGAGCCCTCCGTAGCTTCGAGTGTACCACTTGATGAGCTTATAGCTCATTGATCCATCTTTTGTCACAGCAAAGCCAGATGCAGGTGCCCCGATTCCACTATTGCCTTTGGGGTTTGCAATTGTCCACGCATAGCTGTGGTAAGGCAAACCCAAAACCAGTTTGCTGGCCGGAAATGAGTAGTTTAACCATTGCTTTATCCCATAGTCGGTGTTAACATAGCTCGAAGGATCATATAAAGCAGCATGAGCACCAGTAACATTCTCCTTTAAGGGAAGATGGTAGTCATATGCCGCAACATGCGCCCAATCCAAATTCCTTCAACTGGATAAATCAACGATTCAAAAGTGGGAATATACCTAACCACCATTGTCAATGTTAATCGTGGCAGATCAGAGTTTCTTGCATTAGAAGTCACAGCAGCTCGCCACTCGTCTAGTAGCTTTTCCATTTTGATCATATCTGAGGCTGTGTTTAGCCAAGGCCAGAGTTGTCTATACCTTGAAAGCCATAACGTCTTGCCACATCGATGGAAGACTCAATGAAAGACTTTCTATTTGAAGGATTTTCGAGCATTTTAGACAAGACTGAAAAGTTAGCTCTCTGACCCAAAATTAGCTGAGTTGTTGCTGCTTCTCCGTTCCATATGGATAGGAGCGTTGTGATTGATGGGTTTTTGCGCTTGACAATATCGGTGAAGCTTGAGAAGTTTTGTTCATGAGCAGAAGGGATAGAGAGCTGGTAGGTGGAGGAATTCACATTGGCAAAAGCATAAATAAGATGTGTGAACAAGGCAGAGTTTACCTCCGGTAAAGGAAAGTCGCTGCCAGTGTACCAGTAACCAGCTCGAATCCAAGTTTGTGCGGAAGAACACAAAAAATTACAAGAAACAAGGAAGATGAAGAAGATCGCGTGGGAGATATTTTTGGATGCCATGGAAATAAACGCTAGCTACTTCGATTTTGTTGGAACGAGATGACTCATATATTGTTCAAATCCCACTTACCAATGATCAGAAATGTGAAAACACCTGAGGTTAATGTTTTTATTTGACTTGAAAAATGCAACGCTCACTGCTACCTTTCACATTTGGAGCTACTGTTCGGTTTTCTAAGGTTAAAGATTTAAGGACAACTTCAAAGAAGTCATTTGGGTTTTGGACAGACATAACGGGGTAGTTTGTATTCAACGCGTTTATATTTCACCTACGAATTATCCAGTCCAATCCATCCTAGCACACGACTGCCCTCGACCGACCTTTTACGAGCTAGTTAATCCGATTGTAGCACCAAACGAATCCACAAAATTATGTGACTTGCAATATGTCTTCAGTAGGAAACAGTGACAAAACCACTTAAGTTCTGTCATTTTCTCCTCTTTCCCAGTTTATCTGAGACCACATAACTTGCCGTATACACAATTATGGTTCGAAAGGGTCGCTCTAAGCAATAGTTACACTGCCGGGTGACCCTAGATTGGCCTGACATTTGCCTTAAGATGCACAGCCTGGCATGGTCTACATTTTTGGCGTATAGTAAGAACATATACATTTTTCATCGATAATTGCAATGGAAACTTTTACCGCCAAACTTTTTGTGAAATGTAAGAAGGAACAAATCGAATTATGGAGAAATTATCTTCTGCCTGTGTAAGCGATCGCATGACAAACGTTACCGGGAAGTTCTTGGTAAATAGCGGAAAGTCCAAACTCAATAGAGAGTTCAGATTAACAACACGAATTAACTTCCGCTTGTTTCTCTAAAGAGAAGAACGAAGAAAACAAAAATGGCTACAGTTACATACTAACACAGAACAAATTTCTATCAAGCTACAACCTAGGACAATGTCGAATCATTAACCGAACAAATTTCTAGCTCCGAGGTGGGATTATGACACGCCCCGATCCCAATATTCCCCAAATACCAGGATAAGCACGTGCTGGCCGACACCCAAGGGTGACGAAAGCCATTTATTAAATGCAAATGCTAAGAATAAGGAGTAAATAAGGCTTATAAATATAAAAGAATAAGGAATATGCATTTAAGGGACGTGTTCAGAGCACACATCTAATCTAGAATATTAAAATAATTAATATAAAAATTGAATGTACACAGAAGGGGGTCCTACACCTAAAGGACTCGAAGATACCGATGCAGAAGTGCCTGGATGCCGAGATTGTACGCCTCAATTCTAAGTCCTGAAGGAGGCGCAAAACAAACATAAGTGGACCAATTTGATATATAAAAAGTAAAACAGTTATCAACGTACTAACCCCCAGGTTTATGAAAACACATATATAATGATAAACATAGTTTTTCCGAAACCTAGCATGATGTGCAGTGTCTCAAATTCATAACTTGTATAAGTAATAAACACTTGATTTATCCGATAACCTCCAGGCCCCATCCCGTAGCGGAAAGGATCACTAGGTAAGTACAAAATCACAGAACACATATATATATTGAAAAACAACTTCGTAGTATAAAGTCATTCATCATCTATACTACAAAGAGGTGTTCTAAACATGTTCTAAATATCATATCGTCATCCATCGGATATTCTATAAGAACATGAGTTATAGGAAAAATAGTAATAATTCAATCTAGCCTCAGTAAGCATATTATCTCATAAAGTACTTCATAAAACATAAGTATTGAAATCATGATTTTCATGTATGCATTTCTATTATTAAAACATGCTTTTGAAGGGGTCCATTCACCGTACACCGATGGTGCAAAGCTGTACCTAAAAGGTATAGCGAAATCACCGTTAATAATTGCACTTATTCACATAAAGGAGTACCTTTAGTCAAACTCTATTCAACGATTGAATTTGGGAAAACATACTTCAAAAAAGGGTCCAGAACATCGAAATTAGCCTAGGAGAGGTCTTGGACAAAACCCCGAAAAGTCAACTCAAAAAGTCAAAGTTGACCGGTCAAAGCCAAAGTCAAAGTCAACTCTGACAGTTGACCGAGTCAACTTTGACCGTTGACCGAATCAACAGTCAGAGTCAACTGGTCAAAGGTCAAGGTCAAACTTGGGCTTTGGATTGGGTTGGGCCGAATGGGCTTTAAGAGTTTTGGGTTTTAAACTAAGGGTTAATGGGTTTGGGAACTTAGATTGGCCCAAGGCCTAATCTGCTTGGTTCTATACACACACACACACACACACACACACGGGCCTAATGCCCTAAATAGAAAATGCCCCAAGGCCTTATTTCTATAACAGAAACTAAATAAAAACCTTAAAAAGGTTTTTGGGTTGGGCTAGAGGGCTACGGGCCCTAATCCTAATGGCCCGAAGGCCTTAGGGTCCTAAACAATTTAAATAAAAACAAAAGAAAAACAAATGGGTTAGGGGGATTGGGCTAGGCTCACCACACGGGCCTAAGGCCCTCTGGACTCAGAAACGGCCTGGAGGGCCTGGTTTCACCGGAGAAACACCGGAGCTTCAACAGCTCCGAGCCGACCACCACACGCAACCCTAGACATCGATCTTAGTTATCAACACGAAGAGCAAGACAAGGGGAGTATTTCTATACCTTCCTTTCGTTGTGGAACGGTCCGGAGATGGTCGGAATCTCCCCCGACACCCTCGATTTGCCAGAAATGAGTGTTCCTACACCCGAGTTCTATTCGTCCTAAAAACTTCAAAAAAATCACGAATACAACTCAATTAAACCTCAATCTTGCAAGAATCAAGGACGAAAAGAGAAAATTAGGGGCTTACTGAACCGGAGATTGAAAAATCTCGTCGGAGCTCATTTTCCGGTTTTTTGGGGTTGCGGGAGCGAGATGGAGAGAGAGAGAGAGAGAGCAAGACGAGATGGTGATGGGGTGATGGGTCTTCCTCGCGTGCGCGAGTGCTTCGGCGTGCGTGTGTGGTTTCGCAGTGCAGAGAAGAGAGAGATGAGTGAGAGCCGAGAAGGAGAGAGACGGGACAGATAGGAAAAACAGAAAAGAAGAAGAAGAAGGAAGAGGTTCACGAGGGGGGGACAGAGAGAGAAGTGAGGTGAGTGAAGGGGGTGCTGCCACGTGGCAGCTTGAGGGAGAAAGAATCCAATGTTTTCAGATTCTGATTTGTAGACAAAAAGGACCAAATTGCTAGATTTATAACATTTAGGGGTAATTACAAACATATATTTTTATAACTAGGGGGCGGGTGTTACAGATTAATTTCTTCATCTTTGTTCGTTCTTGGATAGATTATGTAACATTTGCGTTGTTAACATTAAAAATTTTGAGTGTGAACAAGAATTAGAGATGTGGTGTCGCGGATGGCGTTCGGACATGGTAGACCATAGGACTTCAGTTGCGTTCGGTCAATAGATGCCGGACATTTCCTTTAAGTTCAGTCAAACTCTGCCGAACTTTAATTGCAATTCAGCGGGGTCTGCCGAACTTTTATACGGCCTAAGTGAATGTTAATTTACAACGTAGGGACTACTTTTCCCACCAGAAGATCATCCGCTGTGATAATATTGTTTTCCATCAATAAACACATTCATCCACAACATGTTAACATTAAGCCCTTAAGTTTTCTGAGTCGAGATAGATTAATTACTTAGCATTTACCACTCATCGGGCTACAACTTCTGAGATTGTTGCATCATCGATGGAACAAGCTTCTAGCAACGGTGTGGCATTAGTTTCTTCGTCTTCGTTTCTTTTTTAGAAGGCAGGAATTTTGGGATTTTCCATTGTAGCTCCTTCATTTTGTAGCATTGAAGAAATTTCCAACATCGAAGGCCCATCGTTTGCATTTTCTTGAACACATAGGAGAGCAATTTGCAAGCATCTCATCAATTTGCATAAAGAATGTATATCGTCAAGTGCAGGATCCATAAATTCCATCCCTTTGCCTTGTTTCCAAAGTAAATATGCCTAAAATCGTTGAATGTTTCCCGCCATGTAATTGAAACGCAAAGATTTAATTCGTAGAAAAACCAAAGTAAATATTAATTCTGAAGTAACTGTGGTGTTGGGGATGAACATTGCTGATACATTTACCTACAATGAAGCCACACTATATTTGTAGACAAAATACCTTGCAATAAGGGTTGATGAGGCCAAATAAACAATAACCGTTTTTTATATATCTATTGTGCTATGAGTCTATGACTTTTTTTCATTTCCTCAATTGATATTCTCTACTAACTTCGTCAATTGTTTTGTTTGCTACTCACTAATAGAGGTGGATGCCGTACTAATCTGACATTTTAAGGCTATGCTTAATGTGACCTCACAAACCAAATGATAGTAATAAGTGGACTTGAACATCTTATCGGGGATCTATCCAAACCAATTAATTATGATGTTAAATTCGATCGGCATTTGTAAATTGTATCTATGATTCTATGTGTGTCCACAAATAATTTGGGAAATTTGTTTGAAAGATTTTACCTGGCTTTGTTAAACCCAAAACTAGCTACCCAAAACTAGCTTCGTGCATGTACTGTTGAGAAATACTCATTTCCAATTTTCTTAACTTTTTTATTGACATGCATTGTTCTTGAATGTACTTTTTTTTACATTTTTTGGATAAATTACATTTTACCCCCTTAGATTTGGGGTCAATTGCAACTTCATACAACATCTTTAAAACATTTCAATTTCATACATTTACTTATCATTTTATTTCAATTTCATAAATCCGTTAGAAAATCCGTTAAGTAAACTGTTAAGTGATGACGTGACAAATATGGAATCCACATTTGTGTTGATGTGACTGTCAAATTTATGCCACGTGTCAATTTTTTTTCTATGCATTTAAAAAATAATAGTTTAATCAGAATATTAAATACTAAAATAATTAATTAAAGAAAAGTTAAAAAAAAAAACCCTAAAACCCATATCTTCACCTTCCCCATCCCCAGTCGCATTCTCGCTCTCCCCCTGCAAACCCCTTAATCCCCTAATCCAATTTCCGAATTAGCCTATGCTCACCACCGAAATAATGAAAAGAAAAAATGAAAATTGCATTTATGGCTTTGGATCTTCTCTCTTCCATCTTCTATCAATCTCTTGAATCTCTCTGGAAAACAAGAATTTTTCCTTCTATTTAGATTCAAATCGATTGAGAAATTGGGGATGGGTTTTAGGTGTTTGGGGTCGGGCCTTCAAGAATAAGAAATTGCTGGTTCTGGTAATGGTGGTAGCCTTTATTTGGTGCAGGTAGTGGCACGAATAGGTCCTTTCGGTAGAGGTGGGGTGACTAACGGAAATGGGGGTACGACGTTTTGGATTCTGGTTGTGAGTTCTGGTTTTGGGTTTTGGGTTCTGAATTTATTCGTTAACTCGAGCTTCTCGTCCCACTTCGGGTTCAGATCTCGCTGCTTCGTCTTCGTCCTCTACCGTTGCCTGTCGAAGTTGACGATCGCGTTGGCCTTCGCTAGGTTCAGATCTCACTCCTCATTTTCCCTTCGGATTCATATTTTTTCAACTTTCTGAAATTTATGCCAATTTTTTTCGAAATTTTTTTGGGATTTGCATGAACATATGTGGGTTGAAGTTGAAGATGGGAGAGAGAGTTATGGATGTTTGGATAGAGAAGAAGACGAGAGAGAGGGGGAAGAAGGATGAGGGGGAAAAGGAAGATACTTTCATAATTTAGGGAGTGTGCGGAAGTCTGAGAAGGTACTGGGTGAGAGTGAGAGAGACTGAGTGTTGTGGCAACTATGGGCGGATCTAGGTTCTTGCAAGAAGCAAGTGAGACGGTGGAGAGAGTGTGCATTTTATAATTAAAAATTGTTTTATTTGTTTTTATCCACGTGGCACTAATTTTGTAGGGTCCCCTATGGCCATGTAAGCAGATAACAGAATGATTGACAAAAATTGTAATGGTTGTATGAAATTAAAATGAAATAGTAGTGAATGTATGAGATTGAAATGTTTTAAAGATATTGTAAGAAGTTATTGACTTCAAACTTGAAGAGGTAAAATGTAATTTACCATTTTTTTTCCTTTCAAATTGATAGTCATTAAGAAACCCACAAAAAAGGGGGAATAGGATGTATAATCTCGTTTAGAGCTTTGATTTTTATATTTAAATTAGGGAGTAAGTTACGTGAAACAAATTTGAAGTCATTTCTCATTTGACATGCTAGATTAATAATGCATTTTTTGTGAAAAAAAACCTTACATATGATAATAGTTAAATTAAAACATCACGTATCAGTAAATCCTAAAGTAATTATGATCATTATCACATTATTAATTATTAAATAAGTTTAATTTAATCTATTTACCACGTAAATCTAAAAGTTTAGTGTTTATCAGCAAATAATATTGTGGTGAGCTTCAGCACTGCCTTTTCCTCTTCTATTCCCCCCCCCCCCCAAAACAAAAAAAAATAATCCAACCCAACGCAAGTTTAAAATATGGCCTATAACCTAAACTCAAAAGAAAGCCAAATACTGGTTCGTTTTTTAGTCCACAAACTGGTGTGGGCCCTACCAGTGAGGGTGAAAACACTGGCTTGCAACCCACATGCCTTCAGCCAGTCACCCAACACGTTAGCCTCGAAACCACCGGGACCTCTGAGGAAGATGTTGTTTTATGCTTGGCAACATAAAGCATGGTCGGTGATTTTTGATAACTTTGTTGAATGGGTGAGAGACAAGCAAAACTAATTCCGGCATCCTTACATTCCCTTTTGTTAGAATACACTGGTTACTCTAAGAAGGTAAAAGAACTCTCTCCTCCTAATTCTTTCTATTCCTTTTCATTGGGGGTTAATATCTTAATTAACTTAAATTGCATCCCTTATTTTCCAAGAAGAATGTTTTAGTTCTACAATTATAATTGACTTCGTTCAGTTTGGTCTATTTACAGGGCTTGTCAAGAATTCCGCCAATCGGTTCTACCACCAAACCATTTGTGCTTGAGGGGTTTTGTTTTCGTTTCAAATTTCATTTGGGAGGTGGTTTGGAGAGATGAGAAATGCTACAGTTTTGTGATGAGGAAATTTTGCAAGAGTCTAATTATACAATAATGAGGTTGCAATTTGTTTTGGGGAGGTCTGTTTTTCACTGGCCGATTGGTCCAAACGTTGTGCTTGTATTATGTAATTTGTGATATTTGAAACTATAATGTACGGGAAGGGGAATTTAAACTTGGGTGTTAGGAGGTGCACATACTGCCCTCCTAGTTCATGTTGCGATTACGTGGATCGATTGAGATGAACATTTTTCAAAATATAAATTGAATGTGGCTCTTGATCAAGTAAAATAACAAATCTCCAATCTACTTAGATTCATACTATAAATAAAATAATTAAGATTCACTTCAATAATCTAAACACTCGCTAATCACTCGATGAATTGATGCTTTACATATTAAACACAAAACAGCTGCGAGTTTCCGGTAGGGAATTCGATCCTTTTATCTTCTCATTCGTCAAGAATCCATGACTTTGAAGCTGCAGTTTTAAAACATTCATCGTTAAGAATTGATTTGGAAACTAAATTAAGATTAATGCAAAGTTAGGATTTCAAATTATCATGGAAAAGTGGGTTAGTTTACCTTGGGCCGAAATCTTCCAGTCGCTATCAAAACTGAGGGCCCAAAAGAAGTATCCACGAAGCCCAAGGGCCTGAGCAAACCCTATCTTAGCGGCCGTGGTGAAGGCATCATCATACGAAACCCACGTGGACCCGTTGTACAAATACACGAATACAGTGTCCATGTCATACACTACAGTTGCGCCCGATTGGTTTAGTAGCGTCTCGACTTGGTGGTAAAACAACATCCCTGCTCCTGGCCCTGGCCCAATAGCAATGGCTCCAAAGCTGTGAGTTTTCAGATTTTGGAGCTCCCACGACCGGCCGTAGAGGGCCAGGCCCATAACCAATTTTGCCGGGGTATCCCGGCCTTGATCCATGACTTAAGCCCATATATTGAGTTTACGTTACTATTCGGGTTCCACAATGCTGCATTGGGCCCTGTGGTGTTGCTCCAAGCCCCGTTGTAGTCGTAGCACATTGGATTGATCCAGTCCAAGTACTTTTTTAGTGACGACGCCTGGTACGATCGGAGGACGGCGTCCAAGAAGAAGTCGGCCGAGAAGTAAACGGCGGCGGTGAGGAGTAGCGGAGGGCGGGCCGTGGATTTGGACTCCTTCTTGAGCTCGTGGTGCCATTCTTTTAGCAAGTGGCTCAAATCCTTCATTTCTTTTGGGCTTTGAGGGAACTCCCAATCAAGGTCTAGTCCATCAACCCAAACTTACGTGCAACCTCTATGGCAGATTGTATGAATTGTGAACGTGAAGAAGCTTTTGAGGCCAAGCGAGCAAACACGAATGGCAGCACCACGCCGTCTGCTGCGCCACCGATGGAAAAAAGGGTCTTCACCGGCGGAGTTTTGTGGCGGAGAGTGGTGGTGAAATTGGAGAGGAGCAAAGCCGTAGAATTTGGCAAGTCAAATTTGAAAGTGACATTATTTGGCACAAGAAAAGCATAGAAAATGTGGGTGAAGAATGATGTGTTTATGGCTGAAGGTGGGAAATCCGGCGAAAACGAAGGATAATATGCCGCTTTCACCGCCGGTGGAACCTCGGCCGTGCAGCCGGTGTTTATGATCATCAAGGAACATAAGAGCAAGAGAATATGCAAAAAGTTGTGGATTGTCATTTTTGTTACAGTAGATTATGAAGGACAACATATCAAATTCGAACTATATAAATAAAAGGGATTAAGCAAAACGTTAAAAATTATGCTATATAATTAATCTAGGAAGTAGTTTATTGTTAATTTAAATAATAAGTTAAGATTAAAACAATATCACAAGAAATTCTGCCGGCCATTTAAACTTTAATCTGTTTTAAAATATAAAAAGGAGGACTCCGTCTCTTACTGATTGGAATGAAATCTGAGAAGTTGATTTAAGTAAATTTCATGTTCACATGTGTTCGTCTGGGAACAATGCAGGCTGAAATCTAGTTTTTTACTCCAATGTTTTGTTTTTGTTGTATAAAATAATCACGTAGACGAGGAGAGTTGAGGTTTCACCATAAAACCAATCGGCAATTGGCATATACTTGGTCATTTAACAAAGTACTAAACCTTTAAAACTTCCATTGTCTTCCTCGAGGCGAAGAATCCAAAATTGCTAGAAACTTGTGTGCACTTCTTCTCATAAACGCTTCTCATTCGCGCCTGCATTTTCACTCGAGCCTGCATTCTCATCGGGGTTGCAGTTCGGAGATCTGAGCATCATTAACCGAACAATTTCCTGGCTGCGGGGTACATATGTTGTCCACATTGTCGTAATTTTTTACTGAGAAAGCCGTCTTAGTAGGAGTTGAAACGGCTTGAGTGTCAGATTTGAGCATGGAATAAACTTCCAGCATTGTAGGCCTATCGTCGGCATTTTCCTGGACACAGAGTAGTGCCACTTGCAAGCATCTCAATAACTTACAAGAAGAAGAAGAATCGTCAAGTGACGGATCGATAAATTCCAGTCCTTTGTCCTCTTTCCATGATACATATGCCTGAAACAATTTTAATGATTTCAATAATTCATATTTAAGTAATAGTTTATGGTCGTGACAGAAGTTTGAACCTTAGAAAGTTTCTCGAACTTACATATTCCAAGAGGTGCATACTTTCGTTCGGACCATAGTAATGTGTACTCTTCCGTCCGCTAATCATTTGCAAAAGTAGAACTCCGAAGCTGTAGACGTCGTACTTCATAGAGTATATGCCATTTCGTACGTATTCAGGAGGTACGTAGCCACTGCATTTGTGTATAACAAGTATAAGGATATGGTCACGCGCAAATAACTGATGAGAGGCAGTTTATCACTTACTATGTGCCAACAATCCGCCTTGTGTTTCCTTCGAGTTCATCCTTTCTGAAAAGTTTGGCCATTCCAAAATCGGAAATCATAGCATTCATCTCGTCATCAAGCAAAATGTTGCTAGCTTTTAAATCACGGTGAATGATTGTGAAGTTTGAGTATTCTTGAAGATATAGGAGTCCTTGAGTAACGCCTTCGATGATGTGCACATGCTTTCCCCAATCCATGAAATACCATCTGGTAGGATCTGCGAGATGAAAAATTCAAGAATCCGTACATGAAGTTCTAATGAATTGAAACAAATTTTGTTGAAAGTAATCTGCACCTCCATAAGCTTAGACCCAATGTAAATGTTATTACTGTTATTCTAGCGTGCATTCTAAAATGTAAGGAGAAGCACGAAAAATTGCAGATCGAAAAGGTAGAAGTCCAAGCTTTTGTTGGGCATGTACTTGTAGATCAGCATTTTTTCTTCCTTCTCAGTGCAAAATCCAAGAACAGGAACTAGATTCATATGTTGTAGTCTCGCAGTAAGTTTAACCTCATGTTCGAATTCCTGAAGTCCTTGAGTAGACGTTTTCGAAAGCCTTTTCACTGCTATTTCCGGACCTCTCCGCAACTTACCCTAAAAAAACAGGATTAGCAAAAGAATAATTAAACAACTACTCTGCGTGTTTTGTGTGTAGACGTTGCATAAGCTTTCGGTTCAGTCTGAGGGACCTTTACACAAGTTTTAAACCCCGTTCCCACAGCATAAAATTATATTTAGAAAATGTACCAAATGTTACCTTGTAAACGGGACCAAATCCACCCTCCCTCTCCAAGTTTGTTTTCACTTGAGAAGTTATTTGTAGCCACTTTGAGACTGGAAAAGCGGTATTTTCAAATTCGGAGCATCACTGTCAACAGCCGATGTACTAGTAGACCTAGATCTGCCTAGAACAATCATCCCTGAAACCAGAAGAAATAAAAATTTCAAATGCAAATCTGTTAATGTCGATCGCTATCTCTTCATTAATTTCATTTAGAAACAAACCATCACAGTTGAGCATATAACCTCTTGTCTTCAATAGTTCTCTCTGCCAGAAACACACCACGAAAGCTATGAGAATTACGACCGAAGTAACTGATAGCACTATTACAAGCAATAACCGGGGTTTCTTTTCGTGATCATTTCCTTCCTCCTGAGCTGTCAATCATTAAAGCAGTAGGAAGTAAAACAATTAGATGTCTGCAAATTGCATGTTGTCACAATTAAACTTCGTTCATGCAAGCTATAAACTCGAGTTGTATGACATGTTGGAACACATCTTAGGAAATCTCTTTGCCTTATCTTCATCGATAATAAACATTGCTTATGGGATAAGTATTGCCTACCTGCCCGAGAAAGAGCCCAAATTTCATCATCATTGCCGACTTGAAACACATTGGTACCGTAGCTTCTTCGCTTTCACATATGCAATCTTAGATCTGATAGCTTCCACATCATCGAAATTAATCCAAGTCGATCCTACCGTGCAGTAATTCACGACATAAGTATCATTATACGCTATGAGCCCTCCGTAGCTTCGAGTGCACCACTTGATGAGCTTATAGCTCATTGATCCATCTTTTGTCACAGCAAAGCCAGATGCAGGTGCCCCAATTCCATTATTGTCTTTGGGGTTTGCAATTGTCCACGCATAGCTGTGGTAAGGCAAACCCAAAACCAGTTTGCTGGCCGGAAATGAGTAGTTTAACCATTGCTTTATCCCATAGTCGGTGTTAACATAGCTCGAATGATCATATAAAGCAGCATAAGCACCAGTAACATTCTCCTTTAAATGAAGATGGTAGTCATACGCCACAACATGCGCCCAATCCAAATTCCTCTTCATAGATTCAACTGGATAAATCAACGATTCAAAAGTGGGAATATACCTAACCGCCATTGTCAATGTTAATCGTGGCAGATCAGAGTTTCTTGCCTCAGAAGTCACAGCAGCTCGCCACTCGTCCAGTAGCTTTTCCATATTGATCATATATGAGGCTGTGTTAAGCCAAGGCCAGAGTAAGTCTATACCTTGGAAGCCATAACGTCTTGCCACATTGATGGAAGACTCAATGAAAGACTTTCTATTCGAAGGGTTTTCGAGCATTTTAGACAAGACTGAAAAGTTAGCTCTCTGACCCAAAATTAGCTGAGTTGTTGCTGCTTTTCCGTTCCATATGGATAGGAGCGTTGTGATTGATGGGTTTTTGCGCTTGACAATATCGGTGAAGCTCGAGAAGTTTTGTTCATGAGCAGAAGGGGTGGAGAGCTGGTAGGTGGAGAAATTCACATTGGCAAAAGCACAAATAAGATGTGTGAACAAGGCAGAGTTTACCTCCGGTAAAGGAAAGTCGCTGCCGGTGTACCAGTAACCAGCTCGAATCCAAGTTTGTGCAGAAGAACATGAAAAATTACAAGCAACAAGGAAGATGAAGAGGATCGGGTGGGAGATATTTTTCGATACCATGGAAATAAACGCTAGCTACTTCGATTCTGTTGGAACAAGATGACTCATTTTGTTCGTGGCAGGAATTTCCGTGGGGGATGCTTCCTGGCCGACGAGCCCGAGAGGTTGGCGCCGGTTGATGCTTTCTGTCAGGCTTCTGCTTTACTGGCGGGCTTGTCGGGCAAAGCCTGTCGGGCAAGGCTTGTCGGGCAAGGCTGAAAGAGAAAGACAGAGTTAACTTTGAAAGGTGCCTTTATGAGGCCTTAGGTGTAGGCCTTGAGGCTCGCAATCAAGATTAACTTTTAAGTGCTCAGGCGTGCCACTGCCATCTTCAGCATGGCAGATGTCGAATGGATGTTTGAGTTGTAATTATATATATTCGAGAGACTATGTTAGTTTTTGACAGGTGCCTTTGTGGGGCCTTAGGTGTAGGCCTTGAGGCTTCCCATTAATAACTAACTTAGTACTCGAATACATAAGGCTCATTTTCTTGATTATATGAGTTTTATAACCATCATACTTCTGATTACCTGAGCCCGAAGAGCAGAAAGAACCCAAATAAGTGCCTTTGTAGGGCCTTTAGATAGGCCTTAAGGCTTCCCATCAGAACTCCTTCTATACTCCATGTTCTAGCCCGAGCAACAAGATGAATCCAAATAGGTGCCTTTGTAGGGCCTTGAATAGGCCTTGAGGCTTCCCATCAGAATTCATTCCATACTCGAACGTTCTATGGTAATCATAATATAACATAAATAAAACTAAGTGACAGGTCGATTACTTGCACCCCAAGTAACTTCGGACTTCTTGTTATCAAACCTTGTCGTTGATGGATTAAGTCCACATCAGGTTCTTTTTTTATGCCTTGAGGCCAAAGACTTTTAGAATGATCAAATCTTATATGCCCGAGGGCTTAGAACTTAGATCTGGCTTGGACTGTAAAGACATATTACTTGGATACAACTTGTAATATACAACATATTGCTAGGCTAATGAAAGAAAAGATAAAAACAAAGAGGGTCGGGCAAGGTTTAACCTTGTCGGGCAAGGCTGGTCGTCTTGCAACTTCCTATCTTTGTGGTTTATCAGGAGGTTTGAAAGCTTAGAAAAGGGGTTGGGAGGTGAGCTTACGGAAAGAAATCGATACTACGGCAATAGTTGAACAAGGTAGCAGAGCTATTACAAAGGGTTTATCCCAAAAAGGATGAAGGCTTGGGCTGACTACAACTTCGTTTTAAAGGCAAATCTGGCTTTGAGCAGAGTTTGTGCTTTTGTTTATTTGTTTGAGTGTCCTTGACTTTGATTTCTCTTTCTCCTTTTATAGACGCTTTGGCTTGGTCTTCTGTAGCAATAATCTTGCCTGAATGCAGTTTTGAAGGATAATGACTCATCAGCTATTTACTTGTACTACCATCATAAAGTACTTTTGGGCTGATTAGCTGGTTGGTCTATACCACTTGGCCCTTGGGTAGGTGAGCAAGTGGTGCAAATGATCTGCACCTAGTCGGGAAAGGCCTTTTCTGCCTTATGGGCTTGGGCTGAACTTCAGGTTTTTCCTTCTCTTTTTGGGCCAACTCCCTTCTAAGCCCAAAGTTTAAGTTTTAACCCAAACACATTTATTGTTCAAATCCCACCTACCAATGATCAGAAATGTGAGAACACCTGAGGTTAATGTTTTTGTTTGACCTAAAAAACGCAACGCTCACTGCTACCATTCACATTTGGAGCTACTGTTCGGTTTTCTACAGTTAAAGATTTAAGGACAACTTCAAAGAAGTCCTTTGGGTTTTGGACAGACATAACGAGGTAGTTTGTATTCAACGCGTTTATATTTCACTTACGAATTATCCAGTCCAATCCATCCTGGCACACGTCTGCCCTCGACCGACCATTTATGAGCTAGTTAATCTGATTGTAGCACCAAACGAATCCACAAAATTATGTGACTTGCAACATGTCTTCAGTAGGAAACAATGACAAAACTGTTAGGAATGTCAGTACTACAAGATAGATAATGCACAAGGTAAAGTAGAAAATGGACACCAAGAATTTATGTGGTTCGGTAATATATGCCTACGTCCATGAAATAAGGATCATTCTTCACTATATGAAAATGATGAGTACAACAAGAGTAGTCTTACCAAGCCAAAGACAAGGCTTGATGGATACAAGAAAATACGACACACACTTTTTATCACTCTAAACTTTACTCACAATGTGTAGTGGAACACTCTCACTCTTGGAGTGGAACTCTAGCTTTGGACTTGATCCTTTGCTACTCACACTTGGTTCTTAATTGGTTACATCACTACAACATCACACCCATATTTATAGGTGAGGGCTTGATATTCTACTAGTTTCTAGTTCCTTCTACAAACTAGAACTAGTTTTCTAGTTTCTAGTGTATTCTTCAAACCTCTAGCATAGATAATTCTAGACTAGCCACAAAATTGTAGTTTCTAGATCTTTCCATTTGCAACCAAGGAAGCTAGTACTCTCTAGCTTCTTCCATCAACTTAATAACATGCTAGAATTGTCTAGCATGCTCCAGCCACCTCACTTACTAGAATAATCTAGAACATTCATCATGGGCAAGACCATATACCAACAAAAACCACTTAAGTTCTGTCATTTTCTCCTTTTTCCTAGTTTATCTGAGACCACATAACTTGCCGTATACACAATTATGGTTCGAAATGGTCGCTCTAAGCAATAGTTACACTGCCGGGTGGCCCTAGATTGGCCTTGCATTTGCCTTAAGATGCACAGCATGGCATGGTCTACATTTTTTGCGTGTAGTAAGAACATATACATTTGTCATCGATAATTGCAATGGAAACTTTTGCCGCCAAACTTTTTGTGAAATGTAAGAAGGAACAAATCGAATTATGCAGAAATTATCTTCTGCCTATGTAAGCGATCGCAAGACAAACTTTACCCGAAAGTTCCTGGTAAACAGCGGAAAGTCCAAACTCGATAGAGAGTTCAGATTAACAGCACGAATTAACTTCCGCTTGTTTCTCTAAAGATAACGAAAAAGAAAAAAGAAAAAAGGCTACAGTTACATATTAACACAAAACAAATTTTTGTCAAGCTACAACCTAGGACAGTGTCGGAATCATTAACCAAACAAATTTCTAGCTCCGACGTGGCATTAATTTCTTCGTCTTTGCTCGTTCTTGGATAGATTGTGTAACATTAGCGTTGTTAACATAAAAAAGTTTGAGTGTGAACAAGAATTAGAGATGTGGTGTCGCGGATGGCGTTCGGACATGGTAGACCATAGGACTTTAGTTGTGTTCGGTCAATAGATGCCAGCCAATTTCGTTTAAGTTCAGTCAAATTCTGCCGAACTTTAATTGAAATTCGGTGGGGTCTACCGTGTAAACAGAGAGGAAGAAAGAGATAGAGAGAAAGAAAATGTATGTATTATTTCCTTTTCAATTCAACAACATTAACACTGATTACATTGTGTATATATCTAGCTACATTGCTTAGACACTAAGCTAACATAAGAATCTTAAGATGTTGACACTTGTCACAACCTTACACCATAGACTCTTAACCAACTTAACTACCTCACATACATCCTAACCATCTCACACACATGCACATATTATAGTTATCATCCTCCCTCAATCTCAGAGTGGAGCTTGCCAAGGCTGAGATTGTAGCAGTGTGTTTGATATAGAGGAGCAGACAACCCCTTGGTAAGGATATCAGCAAACTGCTTAGTAAAGGAAACAAATTGCACCTGCAGAAGCTTCTTTGCCACCCTTTCTCGGACAAAATGAACATCAACCTCAATATGTTTGGTCCGCTGATGCATGACAGGATTATAGGCAAGGGCAATCGCAGAAAGATTATCATAGTACAGGGTCGTCGGACAAGGCACATCAATGTGCATAAAGTGAAGAATCTGTGTGATCCAATCAATTTCGGCAGAAGTACTGGAGAGAGCACGGTATTCAGCTTCTGTAGATGAACGAGAAACTGTATTTTGTTTCTTGGATGACCAAGAAATGGGATTTGGCCCGAGAAACACAACTAAACCTGTGGTAGACCATCTGTCATTAGGGTCTCCAGCCCAATCCGCATCACTGAATGCATGAAGATTCAAGTCTCATTTGCGAAACTGAATGCCAAGGTCTATAGTACCTTTTAAATAACGAAGAATCCTCTTCACAGCAGCATAATGAGAGTCCATTGGACAGTGCATGAATTGACAAACCTGATGAACCGAGAAAGAGATATCGGGCCTGGTGAAAGTGAGATATTAAAGAGCACCCACAATGCTTCTATAGAGAGAAGGATTATTGAAAGGATGGCCATCATCTTTCAATAACCTATTATACGGTAAGCAAGGTGTGGAGCACGACGTAGAATGAACCATGTCAGCTTTAAGCAACAAATCAGACACATATTTAGACTGAGAAAGGAACATTCCACTTGCATTCTGTGTGATTTGGATCCCAAGAAAGTAATGGAGATGACCTAAATCCTTAATATCAAATTCCTCAGTCAAAGCCTTAATCACTGCAGTAATAAGGACAGAATCACTCCCTGTGATGATAATATCATCCACATAAAGGAGGAGAATGACCACAGAATGTCCATCATGCTTGACAAATAGAGACGGATCAGAATATGTTGAAAGGAACCCCAGAGAAGGAAGAAAAGATGTGAACCTCTCATTCCATGCTCTTGGGGCTTGTTTTAAGCCATACAAAGACTTATGCAATCTACAAACAAGTGTAGGATTATGTGGATCACTAAACCCTGGTGGTTGGGACATATACACTTCCTCATTAAGAATGCCATGAAGAAAGGCATTCTTCACATCAAGTTGACGCAAAGACCACCCAAAATGTGCTGCCAAGGCTATGACCAACCTCACCGTTGTAGGTTTGACAACCGGACTAAAAGTCTCGCCATAGTCAATACCCTCTTCTTGATTGAAACCTTTGGCAACAAGCCGTGCTTTGTACCTGGAAATAGTCCCATCAGCATATCTCTTAAGCTTGAAAACCCACTTGCAGCCTACCAAATTCTTATTATGAGGTAAAGGGACCAAAGACCAAGTATGTTGTGTTTTAAGAGCAGCCAACTCTTCTTCCATAGCAGACAACCATAATGGAGACTTTAGAGCCGACTTATAGGTGGCAGGTTCCATTTGAGAAAGATTAACTGAATCAGCATCTTGAACCACAGAAAGAAAGGCTTTTTTCTTCGAAATACCATTTTTTGGTCGTGTTTGCATAGAATGAGTGTTCATCGGAGGAATAGGAAGAAGAACCTGCAATCTGTCAGGTTGAAACTCATGTTGTATGGCAACATCAGGAGCACTCGAAGGCAGAGTAGGAGACTCATGAACAATCTCAGAACAGGACACATTTGGAATCACATGAGCCATAGGGAATGAAGAAGAGGATTGGTGGCCTGGTGATGCAGTAATGGACTGTAATGGAGTAGAAGTACCACTGTGTTGATCAGAACATGGATGTGGCATAGGCTCTGGCATAATAGGTGTCCTAGAATGTGGGAGGGACACAATATGATTGGTACCAGTGACTAATATGAATGGAGATGATGAAGGGGGAACAGATGTAGAGGTGGAGTTATTAGAGACAGAACATGTAGCAGACAAGGAAAGATATGGAAATTCTGACTCATCAAACATTACATGTCTGGAAATATACAACCGGGTATGAACAATGTCATAGCAAATGAAACCTTTGTAACTGGAAGCATAGCCTAGAAAAATGCATTTGATGGTCTTGGGTTGTAACTTGGTACTGTTATATGGTTTTAGTAACGGAAATACTGAGCAACCAAATATTCTGAGATGATGAACATCTGGAATATCATGAAACAATAGTTCAAAAGGAGATTTATTATAAAGGGTAGGGGAGGGCATTCGATTGATAAGGTAAACAGCAGTTTGGACAGCAAAAGACCAGAAAATTGGGGGTAAGGAAGCTGTTTGTAAGAGGGTTATAGCAGTTTCAATGATATGTCTATGCTTCCGTTCGGCTAACCCGTTTTGCTCAGGTGTATAAGGACAGGATATGTGATGTTTGATGCCTTTGTCCAACAAAAACTTTTGAAAGGATTTACTAAGATATTCTCCTCCACCATCACTTTGTAATGTTTTAATGGAAGTGGAAAACTGATTAGAAACAAAATTAGAAAAACCAACAAAGGTAGAGAAAACATCACTTTTATTAAGAATGGGAAACAACCAACAATGTCTAGTGCATTCATCAATGAATGTCACATAGTACCAAAAACCATCTATCGAAGTACAAGGAGAAGGACCCCATACATCACTATGAATGATTTCAAATGGATGGAGAGACTTAGACACAGATTGAACAAAGGGCAGTTTACAGAACTTGCCTTCCAGACATGTATGACACATTACAGGCAAGGAATCAAGTGAGACAGACAGATTACACTTCTTTAACATGACAGAGACCACAGAATTAGATGGGTGACCTAATCTACTATGCCAAAGACTAGAAGATACTTGATACCATGTAAACAGAGAGGAAGAAAGAGATAGAGAGAAAGAAAATGTATGTATTATTTCCTTTTCAATTCAACAACATTAACACTGATCACATTGTGTATATATCTAGCTACATTGCTTAGACACTAAGCTAACATAAGAATCTTAAGATGTTGACACTTGTCACAACCTTACACCATAGACTCATAACCAACTTAACTACCTCACATACATCTTAACCATCTCACACACATGCACATATCAGACAGATTACACTTCTTTAACATGACAGAGACCACAGAATTAGATGGGTGACCTAATCTACTATGCCAAAGACTAGAAGATACTTGACGGCCAAGATAGGCAGCTTGAGACTGAGAAGAGATAGCTCGAACTCTTGCTGGAAGTGGTATGGGATACAATCCATTACTGCATTTGCCTTGAAAGAGAATCTTCCATGTGGCTTTGTCCTGGATCCAAAAACAAAAGGTATCATAGATCAACCAACAATGATTATCTAAGCACAATTTATGCACAGATAACAGGTTCTGAGATAATCCAGGAACACAAAGAACTGAATTTAATTGTAAAGGTTTTAAAGGAGTATGAAGAGTGGAGGAACCAATATGAGATATTGATAAACCTGCACCACTTGCAGTTTGAATGGTTTCATCAGCAGGGTATGGAGATGCCAGGGACATATTACTCAAGTCAGCTGTCATATGGGAAGATGCTCCAGAATCAGTAATCCAAAATTGTTGAAGATGAGCACTTGGCTGATGATGTTGTGATGAATAAACATGTAAAGCAGTTGGAGCTTGATTAGAAGAGTTAGAGTTTTTGAAATGGCAATATTTAGCACTATGATTCTTCTTCCCACAGATTTGACAACCCTCAGAAATGGAACTATCTGAATTCCGGAATCGGCAGGTAGGAGCAAAATGTCCAAACTTGCCACAAATTTGACAAGAGTTACTAGAAAGACCCTATTACTTTGGTGGAGAAGAACCAAGAATGCCAGGAGCTGAATGCACATTATAATTGCCATAAGTGGACTTGGAATTTCCAAACCGCGACTGAGAATTGTACTGAAATTTCCCTTTGTATTTGTTCTGCTGGGGTTTGGCCTGATCCCAGACGGACCAGATGAATAAAATGTAGACGGAGAAGGATCAGTGGAATGACCGTCAGTTTTAGAAACACTGCCATTATTTCGAGCAACCATAGCAGACAAGAAATGTGTAATGGGAATGTTTTCAACCATTGCTTCCTCAGCAAGTAACTGAGATTGGAGATCTTTCATGGAAATGACATTCTCACGGCCTCGAATAATAGATCGCAGAGTATTATATTCAGATGAGAGACCATTCAAGGTCAAAATCACAATATCGTCATCATCGAACTGAACTCCAACAACAAACAGATAATCACGAGCTTCTTTAATGCGTTGCAAATATACCGAAATCGAATCCGTACCTTTCTTGATGTTTTGTAATTCAGATTTCATCTGAAAGATCGTAGCTCTAGTGACAATCGAAAATTGTTCTTTGAGACGCTGCCACAGATCATGAGTGCTGGAACTACCAATAGCACAAGAAACTGCTGAAGGAGATAAAGTAGCTGTGAGTAATTGCATCAATGCCCGATCGTGCATTTTCCAAACCTTGAAATCATCACTTTCAGTCGAAGATGAAACATCACTCGAAGGGACAGAGGAACCTTCAGAAATAGGAACATTGAATCGAGCAGGACATGGATGAGACCCATCGACAAAACCCATAAGACCATGACCTTCAAGTAGCAATTCGATCTGAAAATTCCAAGTTAGATAATTGGAATCATCGAGTTTGACAGTCACAGAAGAAGAAATTGTGGATATGAGAGACGTGATGGGAGATTGAAGAATCTGCAGTTGAGCAGAAGTCAACATTGCAATCGAAGAAGGAAGAAATCGAAATAAAGAATTTCTTAGAGGAATTATAACAAACACTTGGTGTGCAAAGAGAAGATTGCACCCAGTCGAAGACACAGAGAAAATCAAGGCCCGGAGAAAAAGAAGATGGAACGTGGATGAAGAATATAGAGCGGAAGCAGAAGAAGAAGATCGAGAAACCTTCAAGCCGAAGCTTTTCAGGCGAATGATACCATGTAAACAGAGAGGAAGAAAGAGATAGAGAGAAAGAAAATGTATGTATTATTTCCTTTTCAATTCAACAACATTAACATTGATTACATTGTGTATATACCTAGCTACATTGCTTAGACACTAAGCTAACATAAGAATCTTAAGATGTTGACACTTGTCACAACCTTACACCATAGACTCTTAACCAACTTAACTACCTCACATACATCCTAACCATCTCACACACATGCACATATTATAGTTATCATGCCGAACTCTTATACGGCCTAAGTGAATGTTAATTCACAACGTAGGGACTACTTTTCCTACCAGAAGATCATCCGCTGTGAGAATATAGTTTTCCATCAATAAACTCATTCGTCCACAACATGTTAACATTTAGCTCTTAAGTTTTCTGAGTGGAGATAGATTAATTACTTAGCATTTACCACTCATCGGGCTACAACTTCAGAGATTGTTGCATCATCGATGGAACAAGCTTCTAGCCGCGGCATGGGATTTGTTTCTTCCTCTTCATTTCTTTTTGAGAAGGCTGGAATTTTGGGATTTTCCATTGTAGCTCCTTCATTTTGTAGCATTGAAGAAATTTCCAACATCGAAGGCCTATCTTTTGCATTTTCTTGAACACATAGGAGAGCAATTTGCAAGCATCTCATCAATTTGCATAAAGAATGTGTATCGTCAAGTGCAGGATCCATAAACTCCATCCCTTTGCCTTGTTTCCAAAGTAAATATGCCTGAAATCGTTGAATGTTTCACGCCATGTAATTGAAACGCAAAGATTTAATTCGTAGAAAAACTAAAGTAAATATTAATTCTGAAGTAACTGTGGTGATTGAAGAAACTTACATATTCTAGTAGGTTTAAGTCTTCATCTGAACCATAGTAGGGGGCATTCTTCTTGCCACTTATGATCTGTAGAAGGAGAACTCCAAAGCTGTAAACATCTGATTTAGTGGAGTATAAACCTTTCTGAACGTATTCCGGTGGTACGTAACCACTGCATAGAATGATTTAGAAGAATTACTAATTACGTACGTAATGAAATAAGCTCAATTACAGAGTACAACTTCAGTAAGAAATAGAGTCACGTACTACGTTCCAACAATTCGACCTGTATTTGCTTCGAGTTCATCCTTTGCAAAAATTCTGGCCATACCAAAATCCGAGATCTTAGGCCTCATCTCCTCATCAAGTAAAATGTTGCTAGCTTTCAGATCGCGATGGATGATTGTCAATCTTGAGTACTCTTGGAGGTAAAGAAGTCCCTGAGTAACCCCTTTGATAATTTGAACCCGCTTTCTCCAATCCAATTCATATCTTCTAACAGGATCTACATTTAGACAGATATTTTCCAATCAGTTCTGCATTGAAATGTATCAAAAAATGCATGGGTCATTAGAGACAGCATATGAGGATTAGATGCTAACAAGCTTTTCATTATATTTAGCTTAAAGGTTTGTGGCACAAAACACAGTGAAATCTCGTATAGAGTTACCAAAGAGGTAGTATAGAATTACCAAAGAGGTAGAGGTCCAAGCTTTTCTTTGGCATGTACTCGTAAATCAGCATTTGCTCATGGTGTTCGATGCAAAATCCCAAAACCCTAACAAGATTTACGTGTTGTAGTTTTGCGGTGAGCATGACCTCGTTCTTGAACTCCTCAAATCCTTGAGTTGAAGCTTTTGATAGTTTCTTCACAGCGATTTCTTGTCCATCTTGCAATACTCCCTAGTAAGTTAAGCATACAATCATGGTTAGCAGCATGTTTAACGGTTTTGAATCTTCCAGTAACATGCTTATTTTAAAAGTTTACTACCTTATAAACGGGGCCATAACCGCCCTCTCCAAGCTTATTTTCAATCGAAAATCCATCCGTTGCCGCCTCAACGTCAGCAATGCTAAATATTTTCAGATTAGGAACGTTGCTGTTGAATTTTCCAGCTGTGTCTGCTATATCATTTTCCCTGGATTCTGATTCCTTAGCTGCATAATTTTTAGGAAACAAAATGGTTAACAGAAAAAAGTCCAAAATACTAATCCTAAAACGTAAATATTTATAGCTTCAATACTTTAGGCCGAATAAAAAAAGAAAGAAAAGAGGTCCTGCACAGAGACAAACTATAAGCTATATACCTTTTGATTTGTGCAGTCTCATGCGGAAGTAACTCAACGCTGAGCCTAGCAAGAGAATAACTGAAGCTATAGTGGTCAAAACGATTACAAGAAATCTCCGTTTGTTTTGTCCACTGCCTCCACCCTCTTGAGCTGTGAGCATATAAAATTCATCGTTACAAGTCGGAAGGAATGCATTGCTGGGAAATTTAAACAATCGTATTGTTAATCTTCATTCAACAAACAAAACCAAAATATTTTATTGTCCTCTCTTGACTGTTAATTTCTGACTTTTTTCAAATAACCATGCAGAAGCGTTTGTACACGCTTGTTTATTTTGGTCCATTAATTCTTCTTTGGTTCACTCAATCCAGGCCAAAAGCAAACAGAAGTGTATGTGTTTTTGGGGGGGGGGGGGGGAGAGAAAAAAAAACGTGTGCGAAAGTTAATTTCTTTTTCGTACCTGCAGCTGCAAGAGAAAGCACCCAATTATCATCAAGTGAGACCTGCCAGATGAAGTATCCAAGCAATTTCTGCTCCTTAGCATAAGAAACTTTTATTTTCACAACTTCAGCATCATCGAAACCGATCCAAGCCGAACCGATCACACAGTACTTCGCTACATAAGTAGCATTGTAGACTATGTCAGCCCCATATCTATCAATGTAGCCTTTGATATCCTTGTAGCTCATCGATCCAACCTTGGTAATGGCAGGACCTTTAGCCGGTGCGCCAATAGCGCTGTCCCTGGGATTGCTTAGCGTCCAAGCATATCCATAGGAAGGCAATCCCAAAACCAATTTGGAAGCAGATAATCCCCTGCCAATCCATGATTTGGTACCATAGTCGGTGCTCAGGTCACTCGATGGATCGTATAGTGCTGCATGAGCACCGGTGAAATTGGTCCGCTGAGGTTCGTAATAGGCATAGGAAACGACATGTACCCAGTTCAAGTTGTCCCGGATTGATTCAACCGGGTATGCGAAGGACTCAAAATCTGGCCTGTACAGCACGGCAGCAGTCAAAATCAGTGGTGTTTGGCTGGTTTTTGCGGCTTCAGAAGCGATAGCTGCCCGCCACTCTTCAAATAACTTCCCCATGTTGGTCATGTCCGAACTTGTGTTAGCTGAAGCCCAGCAAAATTCTAGGCCTAGGAAGCCATAACGCCTTGCGAAAATTATTGAAGAATCAACGAAAGACTTTCTGTGAGAAGAGCTACTGAGCATGGTTGAAATGACACCGTAGTCTGCGTTTCCACCGCCAATGGAGACGAGAGTAGTGACTGATGGGTTCTTTCGCTTGACGGTTGGCGTGAAGGTGGAGTAATACTGCTCCGAGGAGTCGGAGGAGGAGGAAGAGAGCTCATAGGATGATGAGTTAACATCTGTGTAAGCGTAAATAAGGTGAGTGAAGAGCGGAGAGTTGATGTCGGAAATAGGGAATTCGCTGCCGGAATACCAGTATGCAACTTTGATCCAAGATTGTGCTTCCGAAGGTTGGAATCTAAAAGCAAACAAAATTTGGAAAAAGAAGAAGAATGGTAGAACTAAAAATTTGGATACCATTGAGAACGGCGAGATAGTTGATGTCAGAGACGGAAACAGGATTTCACATTGCAAGTCGATGAATGATGACTGTATTTAGAAAATAAATGTTGCAAATGACAATGAGTGATCCATGGAGAGACGTACCCAACTACCCATTGAATAAAGTGTGGACATTAACATTGAAAAACCAGCAGTCGGTAGGAACAAATGATTAAGGGAATAGAGCAATCAAAAGGGATACATGAAAAGTTGAAAAGTATGGTTAGATGGAAAGTAAAATAAATTGATCAGATGTTGAAAAGTCTTTACATTTGTATTTTATTAGGTATATTTTATACATTACCGCTCCCACCGGCCCACCGCAATCTAAAGCATAGACTAAGCAACATAGGATTAGCTTGGCTTCTATAGATAAATATCCAAATATATTCTTTAGTTTTGATAATTTCAAGCTGACATTTTAGACCAGAAGCAATGTTATCTCAAACATTTCATCACAAGAAATCAAACAGCAAAGTTTGAATGGAGTTTTGATCAAAGTTCATATGTATGTGTGTGTATATATATAAGTATGTTTGTATACAAGCAAGAATATATTGCTCTTCTTAATTTGCTTCAATGTCTTCCAAAACTACAACCCTTCCATTACTCCTTTCCGCCCTCCTTTTCCTTATCCAACTCAATGTCTCCGCCGGCCAAGCCGCGGTCAAGGGCGCCTACTGGTATTGGGACAGTGGACTTCCAGCCTCCAGCATAGATTCCACCCTCTTCACTCATCTTTTCTGTGCATTTGCTGACCTCAACGTCGACACGTACCAAGTCACAGTTTCTTCCTCTAACCAAGCACAATTCTCAAGCTTCACCCAAACAGTCCAACAAAACAACCCTTCTGTCAAAACCCTCTTGTCCATTGGAGGTGGTGGCGGTGCTGCCCTTGCAGACACATTCGCTGCAATGGCGAGCCAACCCGACCGGCGTAAGTCATTCATCGATTCCTCCATCAGTCTAGCTAGGTCATACAACTTCCATGGCCTCGACGTTGATTGGGAATATCCATCCACCACCACTCACATGACCAACTTCGGCACCCTTCTCACCGAATTGCGTGCAGCCGTGGCCAATGAGTCGCAGACATCTGGGAACACGGCATTGCTTTTAACCGCAGCTGTACATCGCTCAGCGGATTACTACACCATAAATTACCCCTTTGAGTCCATATCAAACAGTCTGGACTGGATCAACGTTATGGCTTACGACTTCTATGGCTCTGCCTGGGAGTCAAGCAGAGCCAACACTGGCCCACCTGCTGCGTTATACAATGCCACAGCTAGCCAAATTAACGGGAATGCCGGGATCACATCTTGGATTGGGGCAGGTGTGGCTGCCAACAAGATAGTCCTAGGCCTTCCGTTTTATGGCTACGCTTGGCGCTTGGTCAACGCCGATGACCATGGACTTTTTGCTCCGGCTGATGGACCGGCTAATGCCGGGACAGATGGGAGCATGGTTTACCACCAGATAAGGGATTTTATAAGCCAGAATGCGGCAGAGACGGTGTACAATGCGACGGTTGTAACAAACTATTGCTACTCCGGGACTACATGGATTGGGTACGATGATACGGAGAGTATCTCTGCCAAGGTTTCATATGCTAAGGAAGAGGCACTTCTTGGATACTTTGCTTGGCAAGTCAGTGGTGACGACAGCAATTGGGCTCTTTCTCAAACAGGTTGGTAGATGGTAACCTATTTTTTATTTTTGAAACGTCTCTCTAACGCAAAACAAGTAATGTTATCCGTATCATGTTTTTGTATCACATTTTTATATCATTTTTAGTGACATTTGATGTGAACAGTCACATCATTTGAATGAATTAAAATTTTAAATTTAGCTCATTATTTAATAAACTAATAATTAAGAAAAATTAGTTAATTAAATGATGATTGTAGTATATAATGAGTCTTTCTCCTTCTTTTGCTTGGGTTTTGCAAATTTTTCAAATAATATGAATGTCCACATCAGATGCCACCTAAGATGGTATAGAAATATAATATAAAAATATGATATGAATAACATTACTCGACAAAAGCATGCACACACGATAACAAATTAACATCTTTTTTATTGACCGTCTATTTTTATTGTTGTTGCAGCTTCAACTACTTGGGGATGAACATTGCTTATACATTTACCTACAATAAAGCTACACTGTATTTGTAGACTAAATACCTTGCAATACGGGCTAATGAGGCCAAATAAACAATAACCGTTTTTTATATATCTCTTGTGCTACGAGTGTATGACTTTTTTTTTTTATTTCCTTAATTGATACTCTACTAATTTCGTCAATTGTTTTGTTTGCTAGTCACTTAATATTATGGTTTAGTGATATTCTTATTTATTTGTAAATAAGAGGTTTTAGATTCGATTCTCACTAAAGACAAATTTGAACTACATTATTGCTAGCTCATTATGAGGTTAAACCCAACCCCATCCCCCTTTATGCATTTTATGTGAATAAAAAACTTACATATGATAATACACTATTAAATTAAAATGTCACGTGACGGTAAATTCTAAAGTAACATTTATTGTAAAATTTAACTAGAATTGAATAAAATAATATGTGTCAATTAATTAAATATATGTTAGACATATACTATAATTATGGTGGTGAGCAAAATGTTCTCGTGGAAAAAGGCCACACGTGGTTTCACGTATACGTCGATCTCACCAATACGGCAAATTAGGTATGACCCTTCGCCAGACCAACCAGTAGAGACCCGCGCGCACGCGAGAGATAGAGCGACTATAGAGTCAGTCAGGGAATGCTCAGCGCGTCGGTGCCCGCACCCACACCGTGTTCTCTACCCGCTTCGCCTCCCCACCCTCGCTCCAACCACATCGCCGCGCGCGCTTCCATGGCCTCCGCCGCAGCTCGCAGCTCGGCTCGTATAGCAGTCGTCGGCGACGTCGTAAGTCTCTCTCTCCCTCACTCTCTGTGAATTTCCGAAACCATGGCGGGTTGATTAAATTAAATTTCGTTTTGTATTTCTCTAAATTTTCAATTTTTTTGTTTTGGGTTTTGTGAAGCATGATCAGTGGAATCTAGAAGAAGATACGAAAGCACTTGAACTGCTGCAGGTATTTACATTGTCCCCCTCTTCAGTATTTTCTTCAACTTAAAAAAAAAAAAAAAAAAAAAGAGAAAGTTAAAATCTTTGTTTATTTGGGATTATATAAATTTGTGTTAAATATTAGAAACCCTTTTGCCCGAATTTTATGTTTCTAATTCGGGACCGGATTATACATATTTTCCCGATTATATTGAAAAATTGTATGTCCTACCAAGAAATCTAATAAAAGTTTGTAACTTTATATCGAAATGCAGCCGGATTTGGTTCTTTTTACAGGCAGGTTTCATTCTCCCTGACTATTTCGTCTACCATATGTTTTTTCGGTGCTTCCCGATTGGTGAGCTGAGTAACTAGTAACTTTGGCTGTTTGATAAATTCATGACATGTCCCTAAGTGTTGTAATTGTGCGGATAAATTTGTTATCACAATATAGCTAAACCGAGTTTAGACACATAAAGCCATGTGTGGTCATTTTTTACGCCGTGGCTGCTGAGTTTTATTTGTTTTGTGAAATCTGTAGTTTACCTTCCTCTGTCTATTTTGGCCTTTCCCTTTCCTCCATTTTGTTCAGGTGATTTTGGTGAAGAGAACGTTGAACTCGTTAAGAGCGTTGCAAATCTCGATTTTGCTAAAGCAGTTATTTTGGGAAACCATGATGCCTGGCATACAACACAGTTTTCTGGAAAGTAAGTTGTTTCTGTTTTTTTTTCTTCTATTTTTCTTAATTATTCCTTATGCTTAAAGTTAAGGGTTCTTCAGACACACTGCTTGGTATTCAGTTCGACATGTAACTATCAATACGGTTAGTTTTGAATGTATTTCAACTGTCTCCATCCGCCCCACCCTAAATTGTGCAGTGCATACGTGCCCTTGTGTGATCAAGTGTGTTGATGTAATGCTGATTCTTAGTCCACGATAATGTGGTTAATTTACTATTTGATTTCAAATATCAGGAAAAAAGACGGCGTTCAACTTCAGCTAGAATGGTGAGTTTGTCTTATCTTAATGATTGTCAAACATTCTGAAATTGCTATATCTGTGGCATTTTTGCGTACCCATTATTACTTAATGTTCCATTGAAATATGATATCTTTACTGTTCTAGATGTCATTCTTACATAATATGCTTGTAATATTCAGTCTCGGTGAGGAGCATGTAGGTTATCGGTGTTTGGACTATCCTACATTGAAGCTGAGCGTTGTTGGTGGACGACCTTTTTCTGGTGGGGGAAAGAAGTTATTTCGACAAAAGCTCCTGTCTACAAGGTGTGTAATGTTTCGAGCAGTTCTTGATGAAACATGAAACGAGAATTTTATTGATTTGTTTGCTTTCTTATTCAAAAAACAAAAAATATAGTTGGCCCCAATACAAAGTAGTATCCAAGAATTTTGTACTCGTTTTTTTTTGATACTATGCATGAATCACATTTATCATGCAAATTCTTCGGAGAAAGTGTTTTCCACAATAGTGGCTTAAATTCTGACTTAATGTGCTGAAACATCGACCACTTAGGTTTGGGGTCCAAGACATGGATGGAAGTGCTAAGAGAATATGCAAAGCAGCTTCAGGCGCTCCGGACGATCATTTGGTCATATTTCTTGCACATAATGGACCCACAGGTTTATCAGTCTGCTGAAACAAATCATAATCGGGCTTTTGGAGCCAAACTTGTCACTTCATTTAAATGCAGATTTTTGAGTTCACTCCTTGTGCAGGTCTTGGTTCTAACATGGATGACATATGTGGAAAAGATTGGGTGTTTGGAGGTGGAGATCATGGTGACCCAGGTAATCTGATTCGAACCTCTTCACTCAATCACTGAAATGGCTTTTGTTATGTTTTTAAACATAGTGACACATAATCGATGTGACTTTCCTACTCGGCCTTTTGGGTTGCTGCATGTTACTCATGACTTGATGAATCTAAGAGGCGTGTCATTCAGGTGGTTTGTTCATTTAAGTCGAGATTTAATAACATAAGCACTGTTCGTCCGCTACAGATCTAGCACAAGCCTTGTCCCTCTTAAAAGAAACTGGCAAAATCTGTGCTCCACTGGTGGTGTTTGGTCACATGCATAAAGAGTTAGCAGATGGAAATGGTCTTCGGAAAATGATTGTGGTTGGAGATGACAAAACCATATACCTCAATGGGGCGATTGTTCCTAGGGTTAAGAGACTGAATGTTGAACAAGGCACACCAGAGTCCTGTGGCACCATGCGCGCCTTCACCGTAGTGGAGATCTTGAACGGAACAGTTGATAATATTTTTGAAAGTTGGGTTTCAGTTGCCGGCAATAGGATCACATTGGAAGAGGAGCACTTCTTGTTCAAAAGTGGTGGTTAAAATTCGCCGAAATTGGATGTTAGTTTGAGCCTGATTGCATATGTGAGTACGTTTTCTGTCCTCAACTGTGTTACAAGATATCAACTCCGATGCAAAGGGAATATAGTTGTTTAACCCCGTTGGATGTGTATGCTATTAGGGTTCCAAGACAAATCATGTTTGTACGAGGAACATGAAACTCATTTCAATAAACTCTTATCTAACCAATCTATTTTCTTGGGTATTGATCTTTTCGAAGATATTTAAATTCGAGTGCAACTGCAAGAGGGTTTCGGGTGCATTGTTCTAGCAAATTGACTTAGAGTAAATTGTAGCCATGGTCCCTTAACTTTAACTCAATTGGAGCAATGGTCTCTCAACCAAAAATCCATTATCATTGGTCCCTTAACTTTTCAAAAAGTAGCTATGGTCCCTCAACTAAAAATTCATTACTATTGGTCCCTCAACTTTAATTCAACTGGAGAAATTTTCCCCTAACTTTAACTCAATTGTAGTAATGGTCATTCCAACATAATTCGTTTTGACAAAATTTTTGACGTAGTTGACGAAAATAACCATAATTACACACTTTAATAAGTTAAGGGGCCCAAATTATATAAATAGTTATTCCAACATAATTTATTTTAACAAAATTTTAACGAAATTGATGAAAGTGACTATAACTACATATTTTGATAAGTTAGGGACCAATTGTAATAGATTTTTAGTTAAATGACCATTGATTCAATTTGATTAAAGTTGAAAAATCATTATTATAATTTACTTATCGACTTAATTCACGTTTGCATTTTACAGATTCTCTCCCTTTTGCAATTATGTACCCCTTTCTTTTTCTTTCCTTTCGTTTTCCCTTGATTGGTGCACAGATTCCAAAGCGGTGTAAGGCCTTTTTGACTCTATTTTTTTTGTTGGTTGGTGCACACACTTAACTCAAGACCTACCCTATCCTTAATTCACTTATGAAATGTTGATCCAAATCACAATTATTACTCTTAATTTGTCAACTTTAGTCCTAATCTAGTGAACTAAACATAGGGGTTTAATTCAAGAGAAATGCTAAGTATCTCTCTTACAAGTGGGACTTTTTATGAATTCTTTGCCATTTCATCTTTTTGACACGACGTTTTATAATATTGGTACGAGAATTAATGTTGAATTGTGATGTGGTAGAAAATCCATGAAAAGTTCTACTTTAATAAAATTGCTTCATTTCTCTTAATTCAATGAGGTCATGATTATGATTGCAGCTGTCCAACAAACAACCTAAAGCCTTATCAACAATGCCCAAATTTGTAGAAATAAAGGTGTCCATATTATTGCGTGACGACTTAAATATTTCACCAAACACTTGATGAATATCATCATCTTTATTCTATTGAGCTTTCATGTTCATTGATATGGTCCCCCATCTTAAAGCACAAAGTTCCCCTACTCTACTCATAAAGCCTACTAAATTAATCTCATTGTTGATGACATCCTCTTCTTTACACTGAATTCTTTGATACGTGTCACGTCATAGGAAAAATATTAATAAGGTGATTTAGGCTACAATGGTCAAACTCAGGCATATGTTTGCAAAACACATATCCATGCAAGGTCATAAAACCATGTATGGGGCTTCATGCTTATCCAGCACTTAAATACATCTCGTTATACCTTAAATATCAAGTGATGAGAAATATACTAATAAAAAAATATATGTCCAACAATATTAGAATCTATCAATCTTCACACTGATTAATTCAATATTAATCGTATTTTATAATAAAGTTTTAAATTTTGCTAGCTTTCCAATTGCATCTTTCCATCTTTCCACTTTGTTAAACTTTTTACGATAATTTCTTAATCAAAATTAGATGATTTGGATCTTTGAACTAATAAGTTTTGTCACTTTTGATTTTTGGAGTAATCAAAATTGGGGGTTACGTGGGTAGTTTTGGTCAAAGCAATGACTGAAGGAGGAAAAGCTTTGGCAGGCAAACCAACTGTCGTCTTTTGGTAAAAACATTGGCTCAAGCAAAAGCAAATGAGGAATGTCTGACTCTGACATCTCTGCCGCTCTTCTCCCTTTCTTCGAAGATCCTCCCACTCTTTGACTGAATCTGGTCCGTCCATTCGTCCATCCGTCCATCAATACCATTGTGATCTTTCCCAAATTTCATTTACAACCCACATCCACTTTTTAGTTCTAAGATATACGAGGTAGGTATTATTTAACTGTATGCTTATTTCATTGGGCATGACATAACATAATTCTATTGAAATTTCTCTTATTTTCATAAACTTAAGTACAAGAATGTTGTGTTGTGTATGAGATTTTTTTGGTGGTTTTAATGAGATGGTATTTTGAATATGTCAAAATTATGATTCTCAATTAATGAAGAATGATCCATGTGACAAAAAGATTGTTCAGTTTACATGAAACACGAGCCGATGAATTATGTATCATAAAGCAATTGAAGAGACACTAATACTATTATCTCCATTTATATTATAACATGTAGCGTATCAGTTTATATTTCACGTCCATCCCTAATCAAACTCTTTGGTAAATCGGATACCTCATTTTTCTTACCTGAACATTGATTATGAGATTAGCTTCTCTAATCGTCTATGAGAAAGTAGTAATACGAATCTTCTTATGCAGCTGAAGTGTCAATAAGTTATAAATAATAGCTAGTGGAAGTCATCAAATCTATCAACATTAAACCGTTGGTAATGACAATTATTTAATATCTTGAAAGTGGTGAAATCAAAAGCCAGTAAAAGTTGGGAGGCAGATTGTCTGCCCTCATGTTTGAATGTTATTCTTATCTCATTCTATTTTATACGGTTATGATTAAGTCACGTCAATATTTTCTATTGATTTTTTTTACAAAGATAATAAGATAAAAAACAATAAAAATATAAAATGTTGACGTGGCTTAACCGTGACTGCACAAATAAAAGAGGATAGGAAGGTTTGGGCAGAAAATTTGCCTCCTAAAAGTTAGTGCCTCAATTATTAATCTAATCACCCATTATTTTCTTAAGTTGAGTAAAAAACCAAAATCAATTTGGGTGATCTATAAACTAAATCCATGCAAAACATACTACGCTGATCAAATATTTTTTTTTCACAATTATTATTCATATTTCAACGCACATATTTGATTGGTGCGCAAATTTGATGTGTTTAACATTATTTAATTAATTTTTAACGTATCCAAAATTAGAGTAAAAATAGTGTAAATGCACCACGTGGTTGAACTTGTAACACCATTTAATAAAAAATTATCACGTTGTCGTAAGATAATACCAATTTGACCAAAACGTACAAGAATTCGCGGATAAAAACTTTTTCTAAAGATCGATACGAAGGACAAACAAGCCATTCGACTCACTCGAAAACAAGGGGCCGTCACAGGAACTGATTAAAATAGAAAGAGGTTTGCATCATCAACCTACCCCTGTTGTTTCCAAAAAAAATTAATTATTTAAAAAAAAAAAAAAAAAAAAAAAAACATCCTCGTAATTATTCCTTAGGAAGTACTAAACTAAAACTATTATTACACAAAAACAAAAAACAACGAACAATGTTTTAACAATTTTAATGTCCGATTTCTGTTTTTTCAGATTCTGAATTTGTTTCTCTTCGTATCCAACAGCAATCCATAATTTCCAGCTCACCCGCCTAGATCGGATCCATTTTTCTGCCACCACCACCACCTTTCACCTTTAATTTCATCCGACGCCACCTCGGACCTGGGTTTTTTCTCCCTTTCCATCATCCCCAGTAAAAATTTCACGCAATCCAAAACCCCCCTCCCTCAAAAAATTAAATCTTTTTCCCCCCTTTTTTCTGCTCAAAAACAGAGAAAGAGAAAAGAAGTTATATATTTTTTTCTATTTATTGGTGTTTTAATTTTCTCTCACGATGAACAAGAACAACAAGGAGAACCAAAAGCTGAGGAAACCCAGCAAGGATTCGTAAAACCCAATTTGTCTGCAGCTGGGTTTGCGTTAATGGGCAATGTTACGGCGGGAGTGGCGGCCAAGTTTGCGTTTTTCCCACCTGACCCGCCGACGTACGACGTGTACAAGGACGAGGGTGGGAAGCTGGTGTTTTCCAGCGTGACGGCGGACAAGAACATGGAGGTGCATTTGCTGGACACGAAGGGCGGGAACAAGATCGTGGCGACGTTTTGGCGGCACCCTTTAGCGCGGTTCACGCTGCTCTACTCGCATGGGAATGCGGCTGACTTGGGGCAGATGCACGAGCTCTTCATTGAGCTCAGGTCTCACCTGCGTGTCAATATTATGAGGTATTTTTGCATTTGAATTTCTCCCTTTTTTTTTATGTTTTTGATGTAGGAGAGGTGTTGGGGGAGAGATTCGAACTTAGGACCTCATGTGGTGGTGCATGGATAAATGCTCTTAATCGCTCGAGCTGCAAAAGCCTTTTGCTTTTTGCTTGTTTTGGATTCTGCTCTGGATTTTGATTGATGGGTTGGCTTTGTTTTTAATTAACTAATATCACATGGGATTTTTTTTGTACCTTTTTTTCCTTTTTGTGGTATGTTTCTGGTTTGTTCCTTTTTTGTGCTTTGAGAAATGTTCATTGAATACCTACTCAGTTTTTTTAATTTATTTTGGTATTGGTTTCTATGTTTTTCAGTTTGTTGATTGTTTTCTGCGTTTTCCTTTTTTTCAATTAATTTTCTGATTTGATTTTTGAAATATGGATGCTCCTTTGCTTCCATGTTTAATTTGTTTCGTTTGTTTATTTGAGAAGATTCTCAGATTATGCTAGTATTCTTTTGAAATTTCAATATTTGGCTGTTCCAGTAAACAACGGTGGCCAACACAAATGTTAACTTTTCTTTATATTTTGTTGGTCTTACGTTTTTGTCTGCACTAACTCAGAGATACTTGTTTAAGCTGAAACTGTTTGATTGATCCTGTAGCTTTCTTAGTTTAACTCGTTTTGGCGTAGGATGAGAACGATCTTCGTCATAAAAATTACTCTGCCAGCATTTGTCAATCGCTTGACAGTTCAGCAATGTAGTTTTATATTGAGGAGCTTATGCATCAAAAAAAAAAGAAAAAAAAAAAGACAAGAACTTTGAATGTTATATGCAGTTGATATGCTGTACTTTTTCTAATTCACCGTGCTGCAGTAATATGAAAACCTTCCCGCGTTTGTTTACTTGACATATTTTTCTTTGCGGCAGCTATGACTATTCGGGCTATGGAGCATCCACTGGTAAGGTGAGTTTGCGTATCTATGAAGTTATTTGCGTTTATAGTCTTTAGTACAGAATTAGGTTTTTACTGTCCATCCTTTTTGTATCGTTCTATTGACCGGTATAGCTAAAATCTACGACTGAAAAGTGTTAATGTTGGTGATTGTTTAGCCATCTGAGTTCAACACATATTATGACATAGAAGCCGTGTACAATTGTTTAAAGAACGAGTATGAAATAAGACAGGAGGATTTGATAGTTTACGGCCAATCTGTTGGAAGTGGACCAACGCTGCACTTGGCTTCTCGCTTAAAAAATCTGAGAGCCGTTGTTCTTCACAGTGCCATCCTTTCAGGCATACGAGTCTTGTATCCTGTCAAGTTGACGTTTTGGTTCGACATTTTCAAAGTAAGTTCGACTTGTCTTCTTTGAATTGCTTAATTCTGCTGCAAGGCTTAGTTACTTGAATTTTTATTGACAAGCCCTGTGCAATGTTTTCAGAATATAGACAAAATACGGCATGTCAGCTCTCCGGTTTTAGTTATTCATGTAAGTACATATTCCAGTCAATCATTTAAAACTATTTTGTTTGAGTATTTCGTTCTTTTAGAATTCAAAGAATTTGGGTTGTGCTTCTAATGTTGTTACAAATAACATCTTGTTGCATCGAAACATATAACTGTTGACTAATCTGACTAACATTGAACTTGGTAAAATTAAATGGTCGTTAATCTTCCTGCCCTTGCCGAGTATATCTTGTCTGATGAAAAGCGTAAAAAAAGTCGTAACTTAAGAATGAACATTAAACTACAGCTCAACCATATCTCATTTGCTATCAACTAAATTGAGAGAACATCGTTTTTCTTTGGATATGAATAAGTTTATTTAGAAATTACAGCAAGATTCTGAATTTCCTAAACATGTAATTGAAGCATTTGTTACACTTCTGGCTTGATTCACAGTCCCATTGTTCTCATTTTGATTGGTGCGTCTAATTTGATTCGTTCATACCCTACTATTTGCAGGGAACAGAGGATGAAATTGTTGACTTGTCCCACGGAAAGCGTTTGTGGGAACTATCCAAAGAAAAGTATGATCCATTATGGGTGAAGGGCGGAGGCCACTGCAACCTTGAAACATATCCCGAGTACATTAAGCACTTACGCAAGTTCATAAACGCAATGGAGAAACTCTCACTCACAAAACCACAACAGGCGAAGAAACAACTCACTTCTGATGGAAGCATCACAGAAGTAAAACACAACAAGTGCTTGAGATTTGGAAAGAGGTAGCTGTTTTTATATTACACATGATCTGAGAAGTAGGAAATGGAAACAGATAGTTCCACTGCATTTGAGTCCCCCGTCTCCGCGAATAGCTCCGATTGCTTACATGATGGACTGACTGCCCAGTGTTTAGCAGACAAGGTTGGCTATGCGTTCAGCTCGGTATTTTTCCTGGTAGGCGAAGGGATCGAATTAGGATTCATATGTAGAGTGTTTGATCCAGATCGAGTTCAGAATCAAATGACGATTTTTCAAGATAGGAAATGACTTGCATGTAAAATTCAAGAGGTTGGTTTGCTTTCCTGGTATCTGGATTTCATGTACAATATTTATAGCACTGAGCTTTTGTGCAAAGACTATCAGCAACTTCAGAAGAGAACGTTCAACACTACATGGGCTGCTTTGCTTTGATTTACTTTCTTGGCCCAACAAAACTAATTTTTTATACGAGCGATGTTGGGGGAGGGAATTATGGGAACTAATTCACATAGGAAAATATTCTTAATCAATCGAGCTACAAGTCATTTACAGTCAACGTCTGCATAAATCTTTAAACTTTTTTTTTTTATATAGAAAATGGTTGCTTTCATTTGACTTTTCTGCGGTAAACAACTTTTGTTTAAGTTTGCATCAGTTGTAGCATGTTTACTGCACTCATGTACTAATTAATTAACAAAAATAGTACATTTGGACATAAAAATAATAATTGAACTTTGCTAAAGCTGAACCCCAATAAGCATTAGCATTTGAAGATTAATTTAAGGGAACTTTAACGAAAAAGCTCCTGGTACTGTTCACTTTAACGAAAAACTACAAGCAAATCAAATGCCCAATTTACATCTATACACATCAATAAAAAGGGCCTAAACCAACAGAAAAACATAAAGAGGGCCTAACAACAGTGAAGCCCAAAAAAACACACAGCAGCCCAGAAGCTTCCGCTGAAATCTTCTACACCGACATAAATCCAGGCCAGCCAACTGAAAAGTCATCCACAACCGAGAACCGCCTCCACAGACACCACCTCCAACCCCAAACAGCAACCCGATCACAGTCATTAACAAGAGATAGTCGGCAGCACATAAGTATTAGTCAACTACTAGTAGGAAGAGCGTGGAAACCCACGAGCAACACTGTCGAAAACGGCAGACAGCAAGGAGAACGTGGTGGTGGTGAAAACACTTGAGCTGGTAAAAACACCGAAACTCTACACACGAATTCAGACAGGAAATATGACTGAAGATAGAACTAAGGAAGAGATGAGAAGAGGTATACCGACGGGATACCCAATCCAAATTTTAGTAAAAAAAGGCCCCCACCATGCACAAGCAAAGCATGGGTCTCGCAGCTATACACTGGTTTTTTTTTTTTTTTTTTTTTTTTTTTTTTTTTTTTTTTACTGTCGAAAAAATCAACAGTCCATATTTAATTTGGGTTTTTTCTTCTTTATTGTTGAAGATCATCAACCGTATGAAATTATATAACCTCAAATTTAAGGTTTTTACTATAGAAACTCTCACATTGGAAGCAATATTTCTTTAGGATGGTGGTGAAAGTCTCTCAATATGAACTCCAATCAAAGATGCTCTTAGTATGCGTATATATATACATGATGATACTATTCACATACTTATTTTTACTTCTCATCATTTAATTTTCAACTGTCAAATTGAATAAATTAAAGAATATCATTATACAAAAATTAAGGATGACATGTAAAAGTTAAAAAAATGTGTATGTACATTAGGACTTTTGATTGTTATCAAAACGCAGTTTTTAGTATAAAATAAAAGACATGTACTTGCCGTTGCAGTTGGATTCTGCAGAGGTTAAACAAATGTTAGTCACTTAATCCATTCACTCAGTCAGTCATTATTAATATTAGGAGTTCTGATGGCTTACTGATTACGAATGAAATCACGAATGATGACTTCTTTTTTTCTAATTTAAACCCAGATTCAAAGTCAATGGGAACTCAAAATTTGTAAACAATTCCACACTACTTGATCTCAGCTCTCGTTACCATTAAAAATTAAAAAGAACTCTAGAAAAAACACTTGTTATAGCGCGTGGTTAGCTGGCTAGTCCGACCACTAAATGAGAATATATTCGGTCCTAAAGTATTTTTTGCATATACTATCACTGACAAACATTTTCACACAACAGTGATGACTATATAGTTGAAGTTTTGTTATTATCCATAAAATGTAAGACCCATAGATGGTTGGTAACATGTCGATATGCTTCTAGATACTCAGTGTCGGGCATATCATGTGACTTGGTAGTAAGTAGAAGTTTGATGATAAACCGTATATGAGATGCATTGATTCATTAAACAGCTGTAATTTGACAAGGATAATCCTAGAAAAACTAAAATTTCAAATCAAATGATATGATTGTTGATGATTGAATTATAATTTAAAAATTTATTTATATAATTAATTTTTATTGATGACACATCATTCGATTTGCAAATTTAATTTAAAATTTTAATCAATTTAGTATTCCCCTTTCGACAATGTTAATTTAATTGTTCGAAAAACGGTTGCATCTCATACATCTGTGTATGGAAGTCCCATCAACCACGTGAGAAGTAGAGCCCACATTAGCAAGTCTCCGTCGCCACTCATCTCCTCCAGTTGGGACCGACGTGTCGTTCCAGTGAAGCCTGCACTGGCTCCGTTTGTGGGTTCGTGGAATCCAAGATGGGTCCGGCCGAAGACTGAAACAGCCAATGAGAATCCGAAACGCGGCATCGTCTCGTAACGCAGTCTTCCGTCCCCCACGACGACAAGTGTACTATATTTGGCAGTTTTATAGCCCAACTCTGACCTAATTCAACCAATCCTCGTACTCTCTCCTGGGAAATGTGAATTACACGCTCTTGATATATAAATAGCAGACCCATTGTGCAAAGAAATTTTCTTTTTCTTTTTTTCAAAAAATGAGAATTAGGTGTGGGTTCACTCTCCAGTCTACATCGAATCTTAACGATTCGAACAGTTTATTTTGTAAGTCTCGACTAATAAGTTATTCTTGCAAAAATTCAATTTAATCCGAAGCCATTTGCCTATAAATAGCAAGATAAAATTTCATTGTTTCTTATATAACAAAATATTCGTTAATTTCTTTAAATTCAATTATATGTCTTAAATATTTTCAATTTAGCTAATATTTTGCAAAGATAATCTATGTGGATCCCTCCTCTTAAAGATTTCTTATAAATAGCCAATTTACCAAAAATTAAATAATAAATTGCGATGGAAATAATGTTGCTCTTTTTGAATTAGAAATTTTGAAAGCAATACCTAATTATTCTCCTCCATTTATTATGAACAGTTTAAACAAAATTCCCCTATATGTCAAACAATAATTAGTTGAAAGTTGAAATAAAACACTTCTTTTGCCCATTTAAATTACATAATGATTAGGTTACATGACTAGTGAATATTAAATAGGTTAATTTGTTAGGACAACATAGTTAAACTTCTTCTTTTTTTCCGGGTATTTTAAGATAGACTAGCTACTCAGTAATACGATTTGTTGGTATTCCTCCTCACTTATAAGTGAGATGTCTTAGGTTCGAATATTGTAGATGGCGAATTTGATACCAACTTAGGTTGTCCATTGTGTGGCTTAGTCAAACTCTCATCCTTTAGTGTAAAATATATCGTTGTACTACAAAAAAATATATCGTTGTACTACAAAAAGGAGAGATTGTTTTCTTTATATTTACTTGTTTCTTTGAAAATTTTAAAATTAGAAGAGAAATTTTGTTCAAAAAAAAAAAAGAAGATAAATTTGATAATTACTTGTAAATCTCCAAGGAAATTATGGCCTAAAATCATGGCTTTTTGAAAAGGAATTTCGAAAAACCAAATGAAAGTAATGGCAAGCTTTCCAAAAACAGAGCTGAGAATAATTTGCATTGAATGCTTAGTTTATTAGGGGATTCGGTATACATTTTTCAAAGTAATCCAAAAGAGAATGTATTGTTTAAAGAAAAAAATGTATTGTTTAAAGATTCAATGACTAAGATCAAACGGTGAAAACTTTTTATCAAAGTTTAGTAATATTTTCGGTTACAATAATACTTCAAATGTGATAGTTTTACACAAATTATTCATACTGAGCATAACACTGAAATAGTTTAAGTCCAATTTAATTACGTTACTAACACAATAACATGTGTTTTACGTAACAGTACATTATTGATACCGACAAAATAGGATAGCCAGTGCATTTAAGTTTCTCACTCAATATCCATTGGAGCCAAATAAAATGCAAATTTGGAAGGAAAATAACTTTGAGTTGAGGGTTACAAAAGGCCAAAGAAAACATTCACGAATTATTAAATGGTGGCAAAATGATAGGGTTCCATTGACCTGTTGTGGACATCATAGGGAGAGAGTTTAGCTAATTAATTAATTAATTTTTTTTTCAACTTAATTAATTAAATTAATTAAAAATGAATATAAACAAACAAAGCAAAACTATCCATTAGAAAATATTATTTCAAAGATAAAGTCTTTGAGTTCTGTTTAGTGTTCAGAAGAAAAAGCGAAAGACAAGGACGCAGAGAGGAGGAAGAGAGAGAGAGAGAGAGAGAGAGATAACAAACAAACAAACAATTCTGAATTCTGAGGAGAGAGAGAGAGACTTTGAAGTACTTCTTAAAATACTAAAAAGATTTCTGTTTTTGTTGGGTCGTTGAACTCTTCACTCTCTCCTTCTCTGGCCATCACCATCATTGTCCATTTTACACAGCTTTTACTACTCCCCACATTCTCTCTCTACCCACATTCTGAGTATGTCTTTCTCTCTCCTCCATTTTTATGCTATATCTCTTCTGGGTTTGTTGAGAAACCCCCGGAATCTGAGTTTTATAGAAAGAAAAAAAGATTGAAACTTTAGTTCTAGTTCTTGATTTTTGTTTGATTTTTCATCTGGGTTTCTGAAGTTGGTGGTTGACTATGACGGTGGAGGACCGTTTTCCGGTGGGCATGCGAGTGTTGGCCGTCGACGACAACTCGACTTGTCTCAGACTTTTGGAGGAGCTGCTTGTCAAATGCCAGTATCAAGGTTTGTTTCTTTTAACCCTCCTTTGATTTAATTTTCTTCAAGTTCTAGCCGTTTGATTTAACAAATGATGTTCATATGTTTGTGTGGTTTAGGTATCAATGCATAGTTTAAATTTGGTTCCTTAATTTTGAATTAGTTTGTTGTTAATCTATACGTGTAAAAGGGATAATCTTGTATACCGAGACTATGCATAGTCTCAGTTCCATGTTCTTAACTTTTCAATACGATGTTCTACTTTAAACTAATTTAAACTGTTGGAAGAAGAATTCACACTCGGTTGCACAGGAGAGCACATCCGCTCTAGCCAATTTGGTTACGCCGACGACTTTTTTT